TTTCCTCCCCGTCCGATTCCTTCCGGAGCACAGGACCCATGCACCCCGGCAGTTCTGTCAGTCTACAGTCTGGTTTCGGGACAAGTGAGTGGCATGTAATTGGCACACTTCAAAGTATGGGCATACCGGGGGCCTGCTCTGTTGACAAGTTCGGCTGCTGTATATAGTAGGAGCAAAGAAGCTATGAGCTTGCTCGGGGATGAAAACCTCCTTAGGTCTTCAAACTTTTCTACGAGGAGATTCTGGACTATGGGGAAATGAACTAACGGAAGGTACACTGCCCCGTCAAGCACTTGAAATGTAGTTGAAGTTGAAACGGCTGCCATTCGACTCGGTCCTAAATTGACTTGCCTCGTTTTGAGGGAATCATGCATATTTATGAGTGAGTGTCAGCTTTTCCAGTAGAGTGCTGAAAATGACATGAAAAGTGGTTAAGTGTCTATTGTGTCACAGTAATTAGTGTCGTGAAAATGGAAGAACCATAAATATGCATGTTTTTTCCAAGAGCATGCCCGTTTCTTGATCTTAGTCACTATTACACCGCGGAGGAATTCCTCTTTGGTTATACGTAATTTGGCAAGCGTCAGATAACACGCACTAAGGACTGTGACGACTGACTTCATGTCCTTTTGTCTCTCCTGAGAAATCGATCTGCCTTCCGACTTTGCTGCTTCACGTATAATCGCAGATTTTCTATAACATTGCGCCATCTTTCTTGTAGCTTGATTAAATCAATCAGTTCCCACATTAAGTTGGCTGTGTTCGTGTTTTCTTGGTGGTAAGGTCCCTTCATCCACCAAGTCCTTTCTCTGGGAGTTGCCGGTTTGTGGTTAATAAGCGTTTGGCCAGGGATTGTACGTTTCCGGATATTCATCGCGAAGCCGTGTGTGGTGTCACGGCTGAGCGGACCGGTGAACCTGCCAACTGTTTGGACCGGCCACCCAGTCGAACTCCCGACTGACCAAACCCGAAAATTTGGGTCATGATCCCACTCAACGATCTAGATCCCTCCCCTTCTACTTTGGCTCCTCTGTGGTCGGCCGACTTTGCTTAGGTGACTGTAGGTGATTTGGTCCGGTCGAGTTGAGTGCTGGTCACTCGATGCGTACATCGTTAGATCTTACTGAAGATAGGTGGGGGCTTTCTTAGAGTGCGTAATTTGGCTTTTTCGCTGGCTTCAGTATCGTCTCTGAACACTTTATGGGCCTTTAGCTATCATGCCCGAAAAGACTCATTTCTTGGCTTCCTGTCCTTCAATCGAATGTTCCTATAACAAAACATCGACTAGCAGAGCCAGAATTTCCAAAGTCAGTGACCTTAGAAAAAAAACTGGCTATGCCAGAACGGAGCCAAAGTCTGAGAGAGACCCCCTCTTTCTGATTTCCTTTTACATAGGGCGGCCTATATTATTCTATTAACCCAGATTCCACCATCTATAAGCCTGCATGAGCTGCTAGTTCTGATGACTTTCTGGGGTTTTCTCTCTTCAAAAATTGTACAGTATATTGAGTATAATGAGAATGAACATACAAGGTAACAATGAAAGCAGAATTGCGCTCTGATCTGGGTCCAGTGTCACTGGGTTGTGAAGATGGAACCAGTCTCAACCACTTCGGTCATTGAAAACAAAAGTAACCTTGCAAGTTTCTATTTCTTGACTGGTTATACGAAGGACAGTGTTGCTTCACCTCTTACATCAGCCACTGGCTTATCCATCATTGTTTTTACATGGATATAGAGATTAATGTGGCCACTCTGACTGACGGACAAGCCTCCGTAAACCCTCGTCTGTAAAACGCCGAAACAGGGCACCTGGAGTGATTCTCTCGCTTACGTGTGCCCGTTCATCAACGATTAGTTAATCTAACTTGTGGTCTGCCTCCCAGAGGTGCATTAAATTGGCGCTGCATGCTGACGTCACGTGCGACGTCAGACTTTTAAAAGGTTGCTGCTATCGCTGACGTCAATTTTAGTAATTAGAGTTACCATCTTCTTTCTCTTGCCGCGTTTGAATTAATTGGATTGAAATTACCCACTAGTCTAAGATACACACTGGCTACATCGATTACCCAAAGAGTTGTGTGTGTTTTCCACACGGCCTGTTTTGTTGATTCTGAGCCATCATGATATGAAGGCTTCATCTGCGTATGTTGCTTCTGTCGATATTTCGATTATTTTGTACAATTTACTGCACATCTTGAAAAGTGCTGAGTCATACAGCAACTGATAATCTTCTCAACGTTTCGGCTTATAGATACGTGTACGAACCACTTCTCAACCACTTCGGTCATTGAAAACAAAAGTAACCTTGCAAGTTTCTGTTTCTTGACTGGTAATACGAAGGACAATGTTGCTTCACTTCTTACATCAGCCACTGGCTTATCCATCATTGTTTTTACATGGATATAAAGATTAATGTTGCCACTCTGACTGACGGACAAGCCTCCGTAAACCCTCGTCTGTAAAACGCCGAAACAGGGCACCTAGAGTGATTCTCTCGCTTACGTGTGCCCGTTCATCAACGATTAGTTAATCTAACTTGTGGTCTGCCTCCCAGAGGTGCATTAAATTTGGCGCTGCATGCTGACGTCACGTGCGACGTCAGACTTTTTAAAAGGTTGTTGCTATCGCTGACGTCAATTTTAGTAATTAGAGTTACCATCTTCTTTCTCTTGCCGCGTTTGAATTAATTGGATTGAAATTACCCACTAGACTAAGATACACACTGGCTACATCCATTACTACTCATAATGCAGCCACACATTGGGAAGGTTTTAGAAACAAACTCATCAGCGATACGGCAGCAATTAAACGGCACAAGCCGTGTGTGCTCGAACCGGTGTCTCAGTATGTACGGGTAGGTTTGATGTATTGGCCGTGGAGGAGAAGTGGCATGTGTGGGTGTGAAATAACCTGGACGAGGATGGTATTACGCGGCCAATGTAATACCGCAGCCAATGGTCCCTGGTAACGTACACGTTGCCTGCTCTCGCGCACTAAATTGCCGCACTTGGCGGCCCAGAGAGGCGCAAAGTCCCTTTTCAGCGTCTTAATTACCTGTCGACGACGGCACCAGCGCTGGGTCGATCGGGGACCCGAGCACGTCGCTGATGTGACGACTAGCCATGACCGTGACTCGTCTGTCTCCGCGCCTCGGCATTAGGATGACGTGTGCATCGACGATCCAATAGAGGATAAAAATTAACACATACACGAAAAAAGACAATGGGTCGCGAACCTGTAAAAAGGCATGCGGTGACAGTTAAAACAGTCGAGTCAAAATGCACGCTTTGGGTTTAGATATGACGATACTAAATGGAAAAATCGGCAACACGAAGCAAATTCTACCTGCACGCCAAGTTACAAAGAGGCAACACAAATATTGAAATAAGCTGGTATACTGAGATGCAGTCTATTATATCGTTGTATTTTGCCTGCTAATTCACTCGAACAGAGCAAAAACCAATGTATGTTTCTCACATATTATAGTAATTTAAGCTTTTTTGCCAATGCCACTGAATGGTGACCGTAGTACTGTATACAGACACGTCAAGAGTTCAAAATGTCATCATGACCATGTGAAATCAAATGAGACAGGTGTGGACAATGGCAAGTATTGGGGCCATAGAAGGTGTAGAGTAAGAGGGTGATTATAGCCCCAAGGGGTTCCCGTTCTCGACAACGTCTCCCTGGGCAGTCAGCGAACAACAAGTGTCGAAAAATGTACGTAGGACTTTTGACTTCTGAGAAGTACAAAGACCCATTTTTCTATCGGTGCAAAAGAGGGGGGCTATAATCATTTGTGATTTAATCTTACACATCTGGTTGTGTCACCACAGTCCGGGAGAGGTGTTTAACTTGTTAATTTATCGGCGAAATTTGTCAACCCCTGCGTTTGATCGGGTTGCCCTTTCTTTCCCATGGGTTGAGTTTGGCGCCACCATTAGGTGAAAGAAGGACCTGGGCGGAGGTCGCAAAACTTTGACCTTTGCGGATTATCTTCCTGCCAAGGTCTTTAACAACCTCCTTTCATCTTAATCCCGTTTACTGTAACTCTTTCCATGTGATGGCGGCGACAAAATTTGAATTGTAACACACAGAATATATTTTAAGCATTTCTGCAGCAGAGGTAACGTTTTGCCTCTATCGACGAGTTAGAAGTAAGTAAGAAGTAAGTACAACCACGTTTTGCTAACTAACCGAGATTGTCCCCTTTTTTCAAATTCTCAGCGTATTGGCTCACCATCCACGTCTTCCGGATGAGACAGTGGCAGGTCCTAGCCTTGGGAGATAGATTAGCCCCCCCCTTCAGGCGCTTCACGACAAAAACGTGCACTCTATCTCTGGGAGCTGGTCCGACTCCCACGCCCGCCAGTTGCACCTTGCGTAAAACCAAACAATCTTTTTGCAAGAGAGAGCATTGTCACGAGATGTGAGCCCACTCCGCCAATGATTTCTCATCAAACAAGCCTGTTCCGTGTACATGTCGGTAATTAACGTTCGACTTCCCCCACTCCTCGCCTTCCACTCCATGCACAAAGCAAAAGGAACTAAGAAAACGCAACCTATTTCCTTCTTTTAATAATTACTCGAGAGTCGGGCCCGCTGTCCTGCGAACGCAGCTATTTCTGCGTTTGTTGGCGCTCGTTGCTGCACGTGGGCGGGAAGCATCTTTTGAAACTCCCACGCTTCACCAAAGTGTGAGTCTTCCCACAGTCTCCTTATGTACATCTTGAACAGGAAGGGAAAAAATCCGCTCGTAAAGGAAAGAACAGAATAATTATTGTCTTTGGGTCGTCAGCCACGGCGTGTAATAAATTTCCTCTATTAGTGGCATTTCGGAAATGCTTTATGACATTATTTTCACTGACAATTACATCGGGGGAAACACACGGCCAAATGCGCACGGTACAAGTGTGCAAGCTTTTTTTTCTGTCTCATACCAGCCAGCGCTGGATATAAATTCTGGAAATGAGTGTTTGTTTTCGTCATTCTCACAGAGCTGAGGTGTGATTGGGAGGCATTCGTTCTACTAACTCTCAAGTAGGGGTCGAGGTTGTAAGAGGTAAGCCGCCATTGTTTTTCATTCTCTTTATGGCCGATCCTTGTTGGTTAGGATCTTTATCTTGTTATTTTTTAAAGGTGTAAAATCGATAGCCACCATCTGGTAAGTCATCTAGGATTTGGTTCTTTTAACTTACCACCGATTCCTTATCTTTGAGGGAGCTCCTTCTATACCACAGGCTTTAAACAAGCTCCCGGGTGCTTCCTCACCGGTTTCTGAATACGGGCAATAACGAATAGTTTCCGACTGCACGAATTTCAAAGGAGAATTAACTTCTTTTGGAGGCCATAAGTAAGTCTTTTGGCCCTTTGCACCAAGTTCAAGGCAAGTCTGGAATCGATACTTTTGTTTTTGCGGCGCTGTTGGTTCAAGCTTCGGGGGAATTACTGTCTGGACTGTTTGCGATCTCAGAGGCATCTGGGACTTAATAGTCGCGGATTCGATAAACACCTCCGGGCTACAGTTATAGAAACAAGTTAAGACCTTGTGTTTGTTTGGTTTAGGATTCTTTTTTACCCAATGTCGGGACTGTATTTGATTTCGGTGTATGCAAGCAATTTATATAGTCACTGCCGTTATTTGAAAATTTTGAAAGCAACCTTTTTCAAGTTTTGTAAGTAGAAATTCAACGTCAATAGTTGTGGACCAAACCATGACAATTGCTATATGTGTTTGATATTCGATGGATGTTTGGGTCATAATTTGCTTTTTCTTTGTTATGATGACGGTCGCTGTTCTTGAGATAAAATTTGTATTTTCATCATTTGAGTAAAGTTTTCCTTTGTCATTTTTTTAAATTGAATAATCAACTACCGGTATTCATTTACATTTGTTGCATTTATTTGGGCTTCTACACCGCCGTTTGATTCCCTGCGCTGTTTGGGTTTCGTGTCGGCGAATTTTATTTCGTACTACGCCTTTGGTGACAAGTGGCTTTGTATATTCGTCATCAAAAAATGCAAAATTTGTGCCAAATTAAAAAGCAACGACTATATAAAAAGGCCATTTAGGCTGAAATCCATTCTTTCAGACTTTCCCCAGCAGTACTGTGCACCTGTCAACTTTTAAACCGCTTCACCTCGGCTGTGGATTGTTAGGTCCCAACGTCAGAAATTGGCAGGCATTGTGAACGTTTTCAATTTAGATGGGAATTTCACCATTTCACCTTCCCGGCATTTCGTTGTCACGAAGAAAATGCTCACTTCAAGCTATCATTTCAAGTATTCTGCTTGGTTTGGATGGAGCGATATATTCTCATGTAGCTCTCTATACATGTTGGCGCAAATAGTTCCGACCGATTCGTCCTCGACCACCAGTCAGTCTGTCGAAACTGAAACTGTGACAATTTGAGTTTGGCACTGTACTTTAAAGCATTTAGGATTATGACACCAACATCGACCCCTTCATGGCCACTGATGGGGTTAATCCAGGTCACGACCTGGCAATTTTCGAAAACACGGATTTTCTTACTTACACTTCATTTTTTTATTCAAACACTGTGGTTTTGTTCAAAACAGAACATCTTGAACGTGTTCTTTATGTAAGGAGACTTTCAGGCATGAATGGAAGAGCAGGTGAAATGACGTAATAAAAGTCACTGTGGACGATGGTGAAATCTAACACCGTGACGCCAGCAGTTACCATGACTACGTCATCCTCGTTGACAACGACGATATTATCCTCGGTGGCGTACGTGCATTAAAGAGCCACTCATGCCCGCTGCTGAATTCTGTGAGAAGACTAGACACCATCTCATACCAAACATGTTTCAAGGTAATGGGGACAAAACTTCTGAAATGGCATTGGTTGGTAATGCGGTTAACTATTCACTCTTTCCCGTATTCTGATTTTTCTATGCGCGAAATTACGGGACGCAGTGTCAATTCGTAGATGTGAGTTGATATTTTGAAATTGACTGACCCTACCGGGTCGTAAAGACAAAAGGATTGCTGGAGACGTGTTCATATTACTCTGTTACTGACATGGTCAACTATTGGCAAGTTACGTCATGATAGCAAGCGGACCTCACACATGTTCATACTGCGTCGGTGTCTTTTGTAAGAACGGGTACATGTTTGGATGCTCAGTGCGCGCCTTTAAGACTGTTTGTGAAACAGCCCGGCACAACTGTCTGTTTCGATGGACTTGACACAGATCCGTGAACCACATCAATCTTCCGCCTCGACCGGTTTATGGCAGAAACACAATCTGTGTTACTGAGCGCGAAGTTGTCGGCTGCAACTTACGTACTGCATGTGAGCGGCTGTCGTGTACGGCCTGATGCGCATGGCACAGCTGCCGTCTTGAGACATAACGAATCCTACAAATCTCTAAAAAGGAGGGGTCTGTGTTGGTCCGATAAGGAAAAGTAAAGATCCTTCTTAAGTGGTGTCCGTCCTCTGTGAACAGGATAAAGCGAGGTCTTTACTTTAAGTGTACATTATAATTTAGTGATCTGACTAACGAGCGCAAATTTTTTGCTCATCTTGAAAACTTGTAGCCTGTAGAGATTGCACGTATATAGTACGTCCTCTCTAAGCCACTGTACCTGTTAATATTCGAGTACCTGAAGCACTTTAAGCAAAACACCTTTGTCCTAGAAATCGAGCTGATGATATGGAAACACTTCACTTGTGAGTCGTCTCCAACTTCCATTGTCTTATCATACGAAGGGGTTGTTTTACCGCCTCCACCCTTCGGCCCGTTGCCAGCATCTCCAGGCAAGGCCAAAAATGTTGGCGGGAAACAAGCCAAGGTCGCCTCGATTCGACCCGCCGCCCCCCCCAGCCTCTGGATGTTAGAGCATTGCGATCTCCGGCTGCCGACCGACCGACCCACCTAACTCGGGCGAGACGGTTCGGTACAGTGGGCTGCCCCCACCGCCACCGTCTGCATTGCATGCTACCCAGTGCACCCACCGGGTCTACCATTACCGCGGGTACAGAAAGTGGGTGGGCCTTGGATTGGACTCCAGCCTGACGTCCACGCGCCGGGTTTTGGATGTTTGACTTCAGTCCCCGAACTTGCGAGACACCAATGTTTCGTGAGATGGGCGTGGCTAAGTGTTTATAGTACTGCACGGCCATCGTGCGGAACGGGGGCGTATTGTTGGATAAAAATAGGTGTATGCCACACGGAAGTTCTCACAGTATCGTCGAACCGCAAGAAGTTTCAATATGATTTTCCCTGCACAGGCGCAGTCCAGGCAAACCTTTAGATCTGTCGACTTGTTCCCTTTCCATCCAATACTTCTTGTCCAGCAAATCTGAGGAAAGAATTGGACCACCTACAATACTCATCAAAGTGGTGATATGGAATTCCACTTGCCATGATATCGCTGCATCTCGATAGCATATTTGGAAAATACATACCGTGATAACTTGCTCTCCTCCACGAGGTATTGTTTGCCAGACGAGGTTATCATTGCGAAATTGCCCGATTGTATGACGTCACCGGCGGAGACCACCGATTTCTCCATAAATACCAGGTATGTTCCGAGTAAAATGTGCTCTTCTTCGTCTTTTGGTACCCCACACGGGTCGGCACAATGTCTTATATCCAAAAATTCTGAACTTTGAAAAGTATCCAAGAAAGTAGCCCAAGGGTCAGTGTATGCTTTGAACAAAAGACTCCACACCTAACACCAATTGAAGAGGGTGTTCTATTGCCGAGAAGCGGACGTCAAACGTTAGCAGTTAGACGAAGCCATCATAGCAAAGGTATTAAATGTACTGTAATCAAATACTAACAACTAACAACCATTTAAAAGCTTTGTGTTTCTTGTTAACATTTGTACGCAAATAAACTGACAGCAAGTAGCAACCGACTAGGGTTAGTTTCGGGGTAAGTAGAGCGCCGATGCAGTGTTCTAGAGGTCGCTGGTTCGAATCCCTATTCAGTCAGTAAGTGTTGTCAACGTTAACGCGGGACTCCTCTCTTTTAGTGGGTCAAGTGTAGCCACTTCCTAGCCAGAATTTTTTTTGTCTGGTGGGCTTACTCAATTGTGTTGGGTGCGATCGGTCGACCGTGCTGCGCTATCGGCAGAACCTTGAAGAGGTCTCAGACTTTACTTCCCTTCTGAAAAAGAAAATAAAATTCACAACCGTGAATTAGAGAGACGCTGTGTGGCAGTATGGACAGAACGTGGAGCGAAGGGCCGATCGTGCGTATCGACCCAGCTCACAATAGCAGATAACATCCAATAGGCCTACTTCCTCCCACACGAGCATGCCTCGGAAACCCTGTCGCTCTTAGCCGCCTGTTAGTCCCTCCAGTTGCTTGTTTACTACCCTCTGACGTTCGGTTGCGTTTTTTCTACGTTTACACCATCCAAAAATATCCCCCCCCCCGCGAGCTCAACTTTCATTCAATTCGTCGACCTCCTTCCCAAACTGATGAAACTATAACCCATATACTTACAGAAACTAAACTTAAAACTTGATAAAATAATTGGATACAAGGATCGGCAAACATGCACGATTATTATTATTATTTTTGTTTTTGGCAGTCAGACCAGAAAGTCCCAGTGTATGGTTTCTCTGAGGTCGCCGACTCTGTGCCAAGAAATAGAACAGAGCTATATAGTTTGCAAGTCTGTATTTTTTTTAGTTTCGCGGTATATCCGGTTCCATCGTGACCTCCACAGATGCAATCGAAAAACAACTCTGAATAGTAGGAGGCAGACACGTACATGTACATGTATACAACGGGGCACGAAACAGAGCCAAACTGAACTGTATATGCTTCCAATTTACCCTCGGCTTGGGCTCCAAATTTTGGAATACTGGTTATCAAATATATCCAAAAATCAAAAACAGGCTCGGTGGAACTTGTCAAAAGAATTGATGACTCTATACACTTTCGACGAGACGCCCCACAAGTGGACCGAGACGCGTTCTCAAAAAGCCGCGATTTACATTTTTAGACTTGCCTAGTCCTTTAAACAGCATGATAGTTTGTCACAGGTAGTCATTTTGCTTGCTCTAATAACTGGTTGTTTTCTTTTTGTGGAGTTCTGAGGTGCAGGTAAGGACCATCCACTCCTCTCGGTTTTTAGTCAAATTTCCTCACGATTGCCTATTGTAATCGTTTGCTGATTCGATCTGGGTTTGTCTACGCACGCACAGGTTCGTCATTTTTTAACACAGATATTTGATATAAGACTGGAGGTTGACTTTTCTTTGAGTTCTGTAATCTGTTAATTTCTCAAAAACAATACTCTGAATCAAGAAAGGCACGATTTGATCTCAAACATTCATACTGAAAAAGGTATTTCAGACATTCAGGGGTTCCTGCTAGTTGAAACTTCCCTGGTCATGCCCGCGGTGGGGTAAAACACTGCGCCTGCGTAAGGCACCAGCGAAGTAGTGGTGTTCCCCTCTCTATAGTGACGTAAGTGAACCACGCGATAAAGGGGAGACAATGACCGCTGAGAAATGCCGTGACTTTATATAACTAGAACGTGTTCATCTTGGGATGGGTGGAAACGTTGAGCATGTGTGCTTGCCTTGGTGCTATGTGTTTTGGCCTCCTTTGTGCTAGCTCACTGCACACCGTGTCCCGGATCTTGAAGACAGGACCAAACTATTGCGAAATTGGCGCATTTTCCATTGTCTGGGTGATATGGTTTTTCACGCGGGGCATAGAAAATCAGCTGTTGTCATTAGCCCGAGGTGTTGATAACACATTGATTTTATTGGAGAATGTCTGCCTCATTTTGTGATAATAGAAAAGGCGACCCCCATCCCGATTATTCATGTCGCATCGCCCCCTGCGATTTGTGCAAAGTACATCTTTCTCGTCTAGACAACGCGGCCTTTACGTGAACTTGAAGTTCATTTTTACTCTTGTTTATACATTTTTTTCTTTCTAGCTGTGCCATTTTGTTTAGGGTTCTAACCCTTACCCATTGCAGTGCGCGTAACCATGTTCCAAATGGACCGTAGAGCTCTTAAAACGTGTAACATATGAACGTTAGGCCTATATCCAAAGTACTTTACAAGACATTGGCAAGAGTTCGGTACATTAACAAGCCACCGTGTAAACCTTAAAACGTTGAAGGCACTGGACACGCCTCAGTTCACTTATAGAATGCTAACTGTTCTTGCATCTTCTTGACACGATGTTTCAATATTTTGATGCCTTCTGCCCCGCTTCGTCAACACATACTGGTAATTGTTAGAGTCCAGAATTAGTTTGTTATGGCTTAAAATTATTAAACGACTCCAGAGGTAGTGGCATATGCTCTATCATAGACTCGTGTGTAATTTCAAGCTGCAGCCATATAATTCAGACACGGCTCTATGATGTAGTTTCAGTCAGTGACTTCATCAATACTCCCATCAGCCATAGATCCGTCTTACATTTTGACCTACTTGTCAATTCGTGTGATTATAACGTTTGTCTCCCAATATCCACGATTCAAGTGTATTATCTTTTTGTCCTTACCTTCACCGAAGTGGCTGGCGAAGTAAGACTATTCGAGTGTGTCTCGAAAACTTGCAACTCGCAGAAAGATTACACAGTCTTCAGTGACGATATATTGCGAGAATCATTACAACGGACTGGTATCAAGTCTAAACTCGACAATGAACAAACAAAAAACCAGTTATGACTTGATTTATCAATTGATTTCCCCGGGCCGCGGTTTGCTTCCAGGGATACTGTCATCGAAACATACTTTTGGTATTATCCCCAGGGTCCTGTGCACGCAGTCTCTGCAGGACCAGCTGGACCGCACCTGACCACCCAGGGTACTGGGGACTTTTTATTTTAAACTCGGCACAGGTGCAACATGACAAAACTTCCTTTCACACCTGCAGCATTTTCACTAACCGGGCGCCTAATATAAGAAACACCTGTTCTGTTCCGATGTTTCAATCGCGATATTCAGCTGGATTACTCGTGAATGGGAGGATGATTTTCCTTATGGATAACAAATATCAACCACCATTTGCTGACAGTGTCGCTAACTTAGTGCAAGTTTAGGTCATGTTTAAAAAAGATGATAATCCCCACCTGACCCTCCATAATGCCTCCAACCCATTTTTTTCTTATTTTTCATTTTCCAAAAAACAGGGGGGAAATGTAAAAAGGAGCCGAAAAATTACACGAGAAACGATCCCCAGCTTATCCTTCGGTCTGAGAATTCGTGATTGGAGGCTGTTCCGTCTATTTGACACGCGAGCCAAGAAAGGGTAAGGAAAGGGTGGTAAACGGAACAGCACCGCTGACTCATCAGACGCTGCCGCATCCGAATTATTGGCTGCGGCTGCGACTGCATACACAAACAAAATCGAGTACGGTTCTACTGTACTAGTATCCTCACTGCCTAAACTTGTAGCCATTTTAAACACATGTGGACATTTATTACAAAATCCCTCCCCCAACCCTCCCTTTGTGGGCAAAAAGATGGTCACCAGTTTCGTTTTACAAGGCCTTAAGTACATGTAATTCATAATAGGGAAGCGGATCATAATTCAGTTGGACTGTGCCGAAATTCCATTGTCTTTAAAGTATTCATTGTTATATTATTCGTTCTCGCTATTGTTCTATCGGCGGCGTTTGCAGTTTCAATTTTATTCCCAGTAAGTTTTAATCACTTTTAAAAGTGATTGAAAGCTATGCAGCCTCATCTCAAACGATCCTCTCTGGGAGAAATAAAACCTCGCCCACGACTGGCTTTTGAAAATCTAGCCTATCTGTTTAACACATATATCGTTACACATAATTATTATAGAAATCATTATTGTGAGACTTATCGTAGATTCCATTTTCGGTTGTCCCTTGACAGATACCCCCAACAAGATGAACCAGTTTCGATTGATAGTACTACTGGAGGTGATGGCATACACCGTGCTCCCAAACCAGGCGGCCGTCATCCAGGTGTGTGGCAACGACCTGTTGGACGCGCTCAAGTCCGTCTGTGGTGACCGGGGCTTCTACTCGCCCCCACCGGGTGAGTACTCTTGAAATGAACCCGTGTGCAAGGCCACAGATGGCGCTGTTTGGGGTTTAAACCAAGTCGCCACGCAGAGCTGCGCATTCAGGTAAAGCATAGTAAGGGCTGCAAACAGTCGGAAACATTGGTTCATGTTTGGTCATTGCTGCTTTTTGTCTTTACCTTGTCGGCCAATACGAGAATGAATGGCAGATCAGAGCACAATGATCACGGAAAGCGAATAGTCAGAGGTCTCAATCAACATTTCTTATAACTGCTCATCAAAATGTACACCTGATCACTTTAACATGGTCAATATGCCTACTGATAATAAATTTCAGTGGAGTAATCGATTTTATGATGAATTCCAACAGTAGATAATCATTGAAGTATCTTTTGATCGTCGTGTGCATGCCATCAAATTAATCACGTACATGCACTTTCTGTGATTTCCCTCTGTGGTGAGGAGGAATTCGTTTCTCAGATAAGCCTTCATTTCAGATAAAATGTTGCCCCAGGACTTTCAGCGGTATTTCATTTAGGTTTTTTTTCCCAGAGTGCTGTGATGTACAAAATCCAGTGTTATGAATGGACGACCCCTTGAATTTGAGGAAAATATTCCCTTGTACATCAGCCTTCCTGGTAAAAAATAGACCATCATCCTGTCATCAAGGAATATGACATCGACCACCAAGGAAAGAATAATTGTTTCGTTTCTTTCAACACTGCTGGCGGAACTTTTCTTATTTTGATCTCCGATATGTCGCCTGGGACTAGGGAAAGTGCATTGGTGCGCGCACCGTGGCCGCGCCGGTCGGTCCGTGGGTCCTCCGGCACATTTTCCCAGGCGACAAGTTTGACATAGCTCATTGGAATCGACACCGAGGTGTTATTGTAGCTTACAAATCCTATGCAAAATAGCTTTCACACAGCTTTCTCAAAAAAAAAAAAACAAAAAACAAAAAACGAACACTTTGTTTCCTTCGAGTTTATTGACACAAGGTATTTTAAATAACGAGAAGACTACAACCTTTACGAGCCGGCGGATTCTACCCCCCTCCAAGAACTCAGGTGCCTCATGGCCGATCTTTTTTGTAATTTGGTATGCCTGCAAAAAAAACACGCATTGTGGGTATATCTAACACGTTTCAAGTAGTCCAACGTATGTGGTCATCAGCAGTTAATGCATGCCTCATGTGTCGGCCCGAGAGTGTTGAGCATATCAGTTGGAAAACGTAACATGTTGGACCGATCTGTCTGGACAAAAGAAGGCGTTTTGCAACTGGATCGGTATGTCTCATTACAAAAAAACCAAACAAACAAGCAAACAAACAAACAAACAAAAAAGTGTGAAAAGGGATTGCTGGAAAGCCTCCTAGAAGCTTGGCGCAGAAAAATAATGCACTGTAATGTTACAGGAGAAAATTTCCAAGGGATTTCGCACCCCGACTTTTAGGGTTAATACACGCAAAAGAGTTACAATGTACTAATTTATGCTCCTTTGGCAAAATAACTATTACGACCACCTGTAACCATACGCGAAAGGGGAAACCGGTAAACCGTCCGAATCCGTGCAGTGTCGAAACATCGATAATACTACGGTAACAAGACAAATCCTTGCATGGTCGTGCCTTGCCGAAGTTTTTGTCGAGTGGTACTGTCGCCGGGTGCAACTGTCTGAAGGCCGCGAGGGATTGCCTCTTTCGTTGTGGAGGTAGGGGCGCAGACCTCCTTCGGACACCTGGTGTCGGCAGGGACTTGTGCGAAACTGCATGGACCTGTGCCTCCGCTTTTATGTCGCACAATGTGAACTGATTTCGCCATAGAGCCTGCACCCCTTTCTGAGTTATTAAACCCTGGACCCACCCCTCATTTTGATATGAAATTTCAGTGTTGAATTTGCCACGCAACGAGACAAAAACAGATCTTAGACGCCCAAGAGTGTTTGACAGTCAGCGTCAATCAATCACATTGCATTGATTTACTTTCATGATTTACATGTATGTACCTTCGCAGGTTATTCGCGTCGAACTCCGGCCACGCAGACCGGTATTGCCACACGATGCTGTATTTCGTACTGCGAAACATCCGTACTCGAGAAATACTGCAATCCACCGTCAACGTCCCAGTCACAGACGGCAGCAGCGCCCCCAAGAATCACAACGACCCCAGACGAAAGGAGAGCTAATGAGATCGTCGTGGACGAGACTGGCCAGACGGGGAACACCAACTCACAAATGCTACGTGGAGGAAACGCAATGGGGGCAGGTAGCCGGGCAAACGGGACCAAAGCGCCACCGACGGAGGTCGTCGATGGCAGAAGTGACGACGACGACGACGCAGCGGGTGAGATCAACACGTCCGAGAGGGTTGGAAGCCTTACCGAGCCAGACGAGGAAACGGGCCGAGATGTGGCCACTAACAGGCCCCACAAAACACACTCCAAGGAGCGCAGTAAGAACAGGACTAGCAAGAGTGAGAGAAGGAGGAGAAGAACCAATAGGAGGCGAAGCAGCAGCGAGAGGCGCATGCTCAGTAGCGAGAGGAAGAGAGAGGATGCGACTCGGAAGCTGAGGAGGAAGGAACAGCGCCTCTCGAGGAAGCAGCCCCATTCCAATAAAAGGAAGTCCAAACTGGAGAAAAAGGGCAGTGAATCTGTCACCACACCGGTGGCGGTACAGACAGCGGATCATCCCTTTAAGGTGAACACCTCTTAACAAAAGTTGGTTTGCATTCAGTGTTAATTCTGATAAATGTTATTTCTAGGCCTCAAAGAAGCACTGGTACTGCTCAATCCTCTAGTTGTTTGACATTGACAGCGCAACCGTGTTGGTAAAGTTGGTCCCTATGGGGCAGGTAACGTAATGAATAACGCCAGTACCCTACTTTACCATACTTTAATGTGAAATCATGAACACAAAAAACTAGAAACCCTTTATATCTCACTGCATTAATAATATTCATTTTGCAAAACATCTCCCGTAGTGCGGTCGCCACACTTTATGCAAGCCTGTGTCTAAATGGGGGATTTTGTGGCTACAGTTTCCCACTCGTTATTAACATACCACGGCCATTAGCCGTAGGTAACCTTGTCCGTTTTAGACAAGGATGGCCCATTGAACCGGTTCATGGGAATGTATGCCGTAAAGAAAGATGACATTATTCTGTACATCTGTACGTTTTTCTGTAGCCCTCTGTACGCCATTTTGTAGTTAAAACAAAACGGGATTATAAATCTACCTTTGCTTCTCAACCTGCAGCATGGTGCCTACAACAGCACGACCGGGGACCTTTCACTGGTGAACGTCACAGACTCAGACACGGCACCGTCGTCTGACACGAAAAAAGACGGCTTTTTCACCACAATCACTGCAGTGCTCAGGGACGTAATTGGCTTCCAGCATGCGGACGACGGGAACCGCTGATGACGTCGCAAGGTCAAAGGCCAAGACCAACGAACTCCTTTACTCGAAGGACGACCATTTTCGTCGCTAACCAAAATGGAACACCCATAAGGCTCTGAGTTTCATTCACAACTTGGTCAGCTTGAAAGTCATATGACTCACGTACCACAGTGTGCTTTAAAGAACCTGGCCAGGACGGCTGGCCAAGCGATTCATTGCTGGTACGGTTGACATAGCCCCATAGCAATGTTTCACATATACTTCACTTCATCTAAACAGTTTCGTGCACATCATTTAAGCGCACTTCTTACCCCGATCGTTGTCTTTGATGGTGCCTGGCTGTTTAAACTCTGGAGGGCGCCTCAGCAGCCCGGTTGGCGCGACTAAAAACAATCGCCTTTGACCTAGGTCCTAACATGTAGCTGTTACCATTTTGCAAGGGAATTGCCGATCAAGATGAAGTGTATAGAGAGAGGTGACGCCTTGCTCGTCGCTCAGTCGAAGTATTCAATATACTGTTGCCATATTTATAAATAATTTATTTATGCTAGATGTCACAGGGTAAACTGGATCATAGGCTCTTTGTAATTAACTCAAGTAAACGCATTGCTGAATGTTACTGCACACATATTCGATTGTGAACAACAAATCCACCCTGACAAAAATGTAGGTCGTGATATACTGTTTTCTAACGGAGGTAATAATATTTTGTTCCTGCGTGAATTTTTAAAAAAGTTTTTGACTGAGTTTCTTCCATTGGAATCTCTGCAACGTTTTAGTGTTGCTTGGCTCGTGGTATGTGCCAATTTCTGTTTGCTGAAATTGCCCTGGTCTACATAAGTTCACACTCACACTTTTAAAATGTATAAAGAACTCTAATATTTATTCCCTCTCCTATTTTTCATTCCAACCATTGCCTAAATCAAGTGGCTGAGAATTTGTACTGTTACAAGCCACAGATGTAAACGGGATCATAACCGATGGCGATAAACCTTCTCGGCACAACTAAATTTACTCCATTTTGGTATTTGATCCTTTGTCACCGTTCACCCTTAACTTAAGGAATGAGAGTCAAAGCAATGTTTAAAGGATTATCAGAGGGTCACCCAGAGTTACACATAATATTCAGAAAGTTTGATCTTTATCCCCGTAGTAGTGTGGTATCTGTTAAGAATTTATCCGGACCTGAAGAAGAATGTTGTCGAAGATTACATTGATTGTAAATTTAATTGATTCAGAGCAAGTCATGCCTCAATTGATGGGGCCCTGGTTGTGTTGGCCCAAAGCATCTATCATCGTACATGTTGTCAAATAAAAAAGGGGAACACGAAAATACTAACTTCCTTTAGCAAAGCCCTTGATATCAACACCCTTCACAGTTTTTACATGTCGTGTTGCTGCTCGGGAGTGCCTTGACCGCCCCCTGGAAAAAAATTCTGGCGACGCCAATATGTGCTGATGCATAGAATATAACAGTTATTAAAGCAGCCTTCTTGTGATAGATCGAGGACTTGCTCTGCTCGTCATGTGTGTGCGTTCATCTGAGGCAAACACTATTCGTTTAACAATACGAATGTGGTGTGTGTTGGTTAGGCACTACTTCGAATGGCAGTCATCCACACACTATGATGAATAAATGTATATAATTGTCAGTGCACTGTAAAAGAAATCAAATCGGAAAGATGGTTGCTGTATGAAAAGAGGCAGAGCCGAGGACAACCATCCAACATCCAATTCCTTTAAGGCCTACTCTGTGTATGCCTACATTGACCGCATATAGATAATTGTATCCTGAAATTGAGTCACTTGGCCTTCAGTGCCCTCACTTGGTTTCTTTAGAATCGAACACCGCTCTTTGTAATTCACTTAACTTGTTATCCAGATTGATTAAACAAGCGCAGGGATAAGAATGCATAGCTCACTCAATACAAACTTCTAATGAAGTCCTTAATTGTGGATACACCTTTATGTCACATTTAACAGAATCGTAGATGTTTCTTTTTGAAATAATTTGGTGGCTTTATGCCGACGCAAATGTGCATTCTTGAGCAAGAGTGTATTTTGCAGTTCTTTCAGTTCTGAACTATGCATTATGAATAATTTTATTTTCCTTGGTGGTTCATTGTTGTCGCAGATCATGCCCGTTAGCCAGTGAGCAAACTATTCGCACGAGAGAGTGAAAGGTCACGCGACGAACTTCCGGAACCCTCTTGTGAGGATTTTACTCGGGGCCATCCTACTAAGTTTTACAATTTTTGGAAAAATGATTCTAACTATAACTACCCAAAGAAAAACTCGTGTCGGTATTTTACCTTTTTGCACCTCAAGTAATATTTTAAAGTCACCTGGAGGTGGGTAAAAAACGAACTTCATTGTCAATTTTTCACTTATATGGCATAACTATCCCATATCTCCTTGTCTCATGCACGTTTGGTTTGACATTACTTGCTAACGTAAGAACAGATTGAATTACGTTGCGAAGATTTATGAACCAGCAGCTAGTTGGCGAGTTTTAGATCCAGCTGAGCTGACCTGACGCAGGTCTTGTCATCAAAAAGTAGATTAGACTTTAGAATCTTATGTAAATGCAGATTATTTCTCAAAGTTTATTTCCTTAATAGGCCTAATTATAAAATGCTAAAGTTATTTTGTTACTTATTTATTTCAACTTTTACCAAAAGACTACCATAAAATATTATTTCGTAAGTTCTCATCAGCTTACAAAAACATCGAGTTGTACAGGTCGCCGTGTCTTTTAGATTTCCAGAAGTGAGAGGCCAATTTTAGCACAGTATTTCTCTTTCAGGTTAGGCAATTTTTAAGTTTCTATACACAATATGCCACTAAAATTTTGTTGTAAATGCCTTTTTCGGAGACGTTTCGTTTCTGAAGAAGTTAACAAACGAGAAATAATTGCAAATTCTAAAATTATTTGCACGTTATTTTCCCTATGTAAGGGTTCCGGAAGCGCGCCACTATGTGTCAAGGGTCAACTTTCAGGCTCTATTATTTTCGATAAGCAATTTCTGGGTTACGTTTACACACAGCGCTCCATTTGCTTGGAACAGTATCGATTTTGTTTTCATTTATTTATTCATTGTTGGAGAATGTACTTTGCAATGAGATTAACCGCTGAAAAGGAATTTGAAATACATGTATTTGTCGATATTTACTTAAGAGAAGTGGAAGTGTGTATTCCAAGTAAAATTCATGTCGTGAGCCCTACTGCTGACATTTTCACACAATTATGTGATTCTTACATTAGAAGAAGAATGAAAAGGGCCAAAGAAAATGTCAGGAAGCCATCAAGTAAATCGATGATATTTACTTTCAAGAACATATTCTACCTTTGAAAAAATGGGGCGATATTATCGATTAAGCTCTTGGGGGTGAAATTGACTGATGGTCGCAACATAAGGTAATTCAAGCCCTAGAGTTTAATCATGTTCTTGTTCATTATTCGTGACGTTTGTTTCTGATGAGTCTGAGTCATAACATTTCTGTTTTTGAACAGCCCACCAACAGCCCACCAATCTCTTGAGTCCATTTGTGGAGTGAATTACCGTCCTCTAAGTTTGGTGTTATTACTTCGAACGCATTACACCTTTTGACAAAATGAACTTCTATTGAAGATTATCACGAAACAAGGAATATGTTTCTTGTGATTTGTAATAAAATAAGTAAAAAATATACATATCCTTGTCACATTGTCACTGGGCATTGTTCGTTTTGATTTTGTTGTAATTAGCGTCGTATTATTTGCTTGGTCAAGCTCCTGTGTCCAACACAGCCCGAGGTTGGGCAAATTCTTTTGCTTTACGGTGCCAAAAGGATAAATTCCAAGATTTGGGTACGCTCTGGTCGCCAGGATGATCTACATCTCCACTTTCGTGTTTGTGAATTATCGACGAAAGTTGGCTGTGTTGACATCGCAGACAACCTTTCTACAGGCGGTATCAAGCCGCAGATAAGAATTTTAATCCGCAATCAAGTAATCGGGGCCATAGATAGGCCTATATGCACGTAGCCGTAGCTCTTGAAGCGAGCCTGTTATGATACGCCGGTAGAATCCATGCAAGAGCAGATGACTAACCTCTTCGACCAGTAGTGTTCAAGTTTATCAGTGGAGGATCTGAAATGATGTATTTTCAAAGAGATCTGGGGAAACGACCATGACACTTATCACTAATCTATATGCCTACTATGGGAACATATTAGCCAATTCGGTATTTAAAAAAACAAGGTCATTCGGGAACAGATTTCGCACGTGCGTCCGAATGACCTTGAATTCGCTCGATCATTTTGGGCATGTGCAGCTGGCTGAAAACACCAACAACAGTTTACTGTGACCGTGATATAACATGACACTAATGTAAGCCACCCAAATCTATAACCTTACAAACCTAGAAAGATTTTGCCTTGTGCGCCCTCACATATTGACAGAGATGTGTCAGATTTTGAAGGGGATATACAGCTAAGTAAGTTCCTTTGAAACTGAACGAGAGAGTAAATTTCAGAGAGGGGCCGGTTGGTTGAACCGGAAAGGGTGCCATTGATCATTGCATATTATAAAACGTGCCCTCTACTCCACATGGGCTCTCTTTCACACAGTGGTACAACAGATGTAGCATGCCCAGTTCCCTGGGATTTCTTGGTGAAGTAGGCATCAAATCCGAAACGCCACTTAGTTTATCAGCTGTTTTAGCCGCACTTGCCCCAAATGAAGCAAGTTCGAGGTCATTCGGGAACAGCCTCATCAGCGTGGCCCATAGGGCGTGGCTATTATGTATCTGACTGCCGCTCGCACGCACCCATTCCTCTCGAATGACCGTGCATTTTAAACGTTGAACTGGCTCATTCATTGCAAGGAGTAACAAGAAACAAGCTGAATGAAAAAAAATCTACGAATACTAGATACGCAAAAGTAATTACTATTGTTATTTTGTCCACAGAGCCTTTCCCAAGGCGAGAGTCAAATTCAGTAGAACCTCACCTTTCAACGGTTCATATGCAGCAAGGTATGAGACGGAGAGAACCCCCCTGCTTTGTGTTGGTCATGGTTTTGCAGGAATCTGGGGGATTCCTTTCAGACATCTTTGGGGGATGTGTTAAGTGAAAATAGTCTAGAATGTGTGTAGGGATTGGACATGTTGGGGGAGCACCCCTCGGTCTCATTTCTTGCTGGGCATTCAACGGTTAACATGTCAATGTACTGTACACTGTACATGTACGTATACATGTACATGTACATTGTACACGCAACTTGATTGGAGGCTACGCAGTGCATGCTGGGAGAAATCTTACGAACTGTTATGTGTACGTGTACACATGTACACTGCACTGTGGGGCAAGGGATACGATAAAAGCATAAAATAGCGAATGTATACGTTATACACGTGGGACGTATGTTGGTAGTGTATCACGCGATCACGCAGACGTAGTTGGTAGAGCTACCGATGCTTGCTGCAGGTGAAAGAGTGAAACTGAAAGGCTTTTGCCGCAATTCTTTAACTGTGAACCTGTACTTACATGTTGTGTGGAACTTTGAAGAAATTTGGGAGTTCCTTCGGTGAGCAGCCATCAGGTGGGCCTACACGTTGCAGATAGATAGCACTAGCAATACGGAGCATAGCCCCACTACTGTGGTCTGAGTCCGTGCCACACGAGTGGGGCACGCATGTTGTAAGCTAACCATGAAGCACTTACTTAGCCTTACTAATAATGTAATATCAAAAAGCTAACACAGTAACGGTAGACCTGTCATGCCTGTTGTTTTTATTTTGTGCACTGGACATGCTTGAACCAGGATTAAAATTTGTAAAACCTGAAACTAAGTAAAGTAGGGCCTTCATTAGCCCCACTACACTAGTGTGGCAAGGACTATCACTCATGATCTATCCTCAGCCACACATCCGTATACGCAATATCATGTCGGCGTATTGAACATTCCGCGCACCCACTTATTGAGAACCGTTGTCACTTGACTAGGCCTGTATATGTAATGCCGTGGAATATTAGTATGGCCAATCCCATCCAAAATCGAAAAAGAGGAATACTAACACTCCACTTAGTGGAGCTGCATTAGCCCCACACGTAGGGCTGTAGTGGAAAAGAGACAGATTGTAAACGAGAGCCACTACAGCCGTACGTGTGGGGCTAGGGACACATCACATGTAGGGTTCCGCCCAGGTGAAGAATTTAGCAGTAGTGAATTTCACCATCATAATCATATCCATGACTAGTCCAAGTAACTTGGACTCTACAGATCGCCCTATTAAACATTTGGACAGTGTCAGGCAATAGAGTCCAAGTTCCTTCCATAGGCTTTCCATCCCTTGAATTCATTTCACTCAACATATCTCATACCTCGAGTCCAAATCCACTGAATTCACCTCCAAATTGGCCCTTAAAATCCGTCTTGCCCTCTTTTGTTCCGCTCGGAGCGGACACAAGAGGAAGATGTACGTGCAAACTGTGCAATTCTACCATTTCGACAACCAGAAATTGAACCCATTACTGCGGTGGCACAATGCGTGTGGACAGGTTGATTATACATGTACGTAGTTGACGTGTACGTGTACCAGTACATATGCAACATTATATAAGCAGTAATGGAAGAACAGAAAATGTCAACAGTTCCAGCTGCTGACAATAACCAATTAACATTTTGGCAAAGATCCTTGACTAAATGGCTACACTAAGCCTTACACCATGCTTAGCTGGTAATACACTTATCTTAAAAAAGAGTCTCTCAGAACACTGGCATATTCAATAGTCCCCTACTGTGTCATTTAATTAGAAAAAAAACTAAATGGGGCAGATTGAAAGCCAAAGATCCTTGGCCAAAATGTTAATTGGTTATTGTCAGCAGCTGGAACTTTTGACATTTCCTGTTCTTCCATTAGTGCTTATATAATGTTGCATGTACCAGTCCAGGTACGTCTCAGTTAACTACGTGGTTTCCTTATTTGTCTTCAATGGGTAGATATCAAGCAAAGAGGCAAAGGCATATCCACAACCTTTTTAAGTGGGATTGGGTATGAATCATAAAATGGGAGTTTAGGCTAAAATCTGGGCATTCACATGTACATGTACAGTACATTGCTAGATGGGAAGGAAAATGAAATTCAGGTACATGTACATGTACTTGCTTTCCTGAAAAGCCCCCTTGTCTTATGATTTCCATGGGAATAAACTTGGAACAAGAAAAGAAGGGTGGGGCATGCACCCTGGTTGGCCTCCCCATCCGCTATACATGTACATGTACATGTACTTCTTTTAGTGTAGAATTTGCAGCCGTCTGACCAGTGGGTGATATTGTGCTGTTCATGTTTAACTTATACCTTGTGTACAGTCCGGCTTGAAATGCCCTCTCTTCTGTCTTGTTCACTGATGCATATCATGTACATACATGTACATGTGTGGAATAAACGTGTATATTTGGTGCAGTGTACATGTACATGCGAAGAGGTGACAGGCCATGTTTATACATATACATGTATTTACATGTAGGTCAAATGCAGTACACTACAAGATGCAGGTGCTTTCATTGGGACTTATGCACATGTATTATGTCTACATGTATGCATGGTCATATTTCTTTTTTTATGAAAAGTAGAATCCAGATATTGTTGATCTGCAATTGGTTTATTAACATGTATTTAATATAGACCAGGGGAGGAGACAAGATCTGGTATTGAGAAACACAGTCTGATGCTCATCCTACTTTCAGTGGCATTTGTCAGTGATCTGTTCACCGGATAGGAACCTATGTGTAAATGGTCAGTTTTTAGAAATGGTGTTGTTGACTTAATAAGTTGTCACACACTCAAGTTGTTGACTCTAAAGGCTTGAGTTAGACTCGAGCCATAATCATTTCTTTTATTTGAAGCTTAACTTTGGAAACTTCAAGATGAATTGTTGACTTGAACGAATTCGATTTGCTGGCATTGCCAACCTTTGCTTATTTAAATACAGTGGAAAAAAATGACTTGCTACATGCACTTGCATACAGTATGTGGTGCATGTACATTTATGCAAACCCAGCCCACTTCTGATGATTGTCATTAGAAATAGCAGCGTCTTATGATTATAACATTATGCGGCAGATGAATCTGACCTGTTTTGTGAAACATCATCGATGACATTGTCAGTGAAGGATGTCAAGAGGATTTCACTTGGAAGAAAAATGAATTGGGACTTGTGAATTGGAGAAAAATTGACACTTGACTGACTTCTCTGGGGAGAAAAGGATTTGTGACTTGGCTTGTACGTGTAGAAAATTGACTCGGTCGCCACATTCTTGGTGTGGTCTGAGATGAGTGCAAAAAGATCACAAGCTTGCTTGAGTGGAAGTCGAAACCTAAACTTTCTGCTTATTAGAGCAGGGCTCTTAACCATTCAACCTCTGAGTTTGCTGGTATCACTATCAGGTGGCTGGCTTGAATGCATATGCAGTAGCTGGTATCCCAATCAGTGAATGATATTAATTTGGCGTGATGCTGGGGATCTGTTTATTTTAGACCAACATTCGTAGGGGCAAAAACCTACATGTACATGTACGAAATAAACATCCCCGAGGCAAAGTCAACGAACTGTCATTGAATTTACACCGTATTTTTCTTGTTTGTTAATTGAACAAATTGAAGGTTTGTGTCAAACAGTGGTTTTCTTTACTCATTGTGCATACTGGTACATGTATGTACAGTTTGCACAGTATGTATATTGTACTTACAAGTATTTGTTCTGGTACATGTACCCTGTTCAAAGTTTTACGTATACATGTACATATACCGGTATTCTATGGATGCGTTTAACTGTCCTATGACTGTCGGGCCGTAAGGCTTCAATCATATTACATTACAATTGATCATTTGTAAAGCTGATTTACAGCTGTGGCCATATGTCTTGATGTTTTTGGAGGGATTCACAGTACATGTATACATGTACATGTATCCCGTACATGTAAGCTCATTAAATTTTTGTAAGAGGGCTCAATTCTGCATGCTTTCACAGCCAATGCTTGCAGCCTTCCCCTCCTTGTTGCCACGTACATGTGCATGTACATTAATGGTCTGCCCCTTGACCCATGAGCCAGAAACCGACCTGTCAGAGAATAAATGTTGCACAGCACCCTCATCGGGAACACTTCCAGTTGTTTCTCAGCTGATGGCTCAGTATTTGTTCTGTTGAAGATACCGTAGCTGCACATGAAACCACCTGGTAAGGGAAGTCATTATTTGTACACTGTACCGTTGAATTATTGCATGTGCATTTAAAGTGTGTCATCTTTCCAGGGCTGTGCATCAGAACTACGTTGCACATGTACATGTATGTACTGTATATGTACCTGAGAACCAAAGAACCAAGTACATGTACCGGTACTTGAGAACCAAAGAACCAAAGTACATGTACCTGAGAACCACAGAATCAAAGTACATGTACATGTACCTGAGAACCAAAGAACCAAAGTACATGTACATGTACCTGAGAACCAAATTGTTCACATCTGGAATAGATTCGAAATTGTGGCAGTGGGTACTTGTACCGGTAACTAATGTTAAACAAACACCATTACTTCATGTATGTAGTAACCTTTCAGACAGCGATATTTTTTTAGAAATATTTTAAAAGGAAATCAGTACTGGTACATGTTTATTCTACACATTGTATTTCAATTATTTATGGGAATTCATTCACTCTCATTTAATATAAAAAATCTGTACATGTATTTTATACATGTACAGAGAGCAGTTATTTTGATAATGTACACTTCACTGAGCATTCATATACTCTCAGCAATCCATTCATTGTTGCTTTAAGTGAAACCTCAGTGTTTTTCAAAGGGGTCCCACTGTAGGCTTACACTCAGCCAAATTTCTAGTGCAAAAGACAAAGTACTGGTACATGTACATGTACATGTACATGCATACATTGTACATGTACATAAAGCAATGGGTCAGGAGCCGGTTGTTGTCAGCACCATCACAAGACCAGGGACATGCACTGGTAACAAAGGAATGCCTTTTGAAATGATCTGAGTCTGGAACCGAGTTTAGACTCTAGAGGTCTTGTGATAAAACAATGACAGTCTTATGACAGTCTTATGGGATCCGGACTACAGCATTGACAAAGGAAAAGCCTCCATACATAAATGTACATGTACACGGTTACTGGAAGCTTGATTGTTGTTATAACCAGTGCTGGAAAACAAGGTTGGTTTTGAATTCACTCATTTAGATTCGGGTTTGTCCATAGAGGAATAACATCTCCATGGTTTACCTGTTCCAGGTGTTTACACGTGTATCGTTTCACACCTTACAGAGGTCTTAAGGCATTACATACAGGTACAGGTACCTGTGTTTACTGGGCCATGAGAAAATCAGTTTCTGCAGTAGCTGGAGGTCAGCACAATTTGTTCAACATGTACGTGTAGCTGTACTGGTACCCTTTCTTACTCCTACATGGAGAGAGACAAATTGTAGTGCAGTGTCTTTTTATAAAGGAATGAAGTGCCATTTTACCCACAGGGTGACATGCATGCACATGTATCGGTACTTTCTGAGTTAAACACTTGAACCATTGGACCATGGAGCTCTACAGCTCTTGGCCCTCAGGATGTTGCACCAGTTGCTTCTACCGTGTCTACACAGTAACTACCATTTCTCTTTGAAAACAGCCAATGTTCTGTCTTAATGCCATTGGTGAATAACACCGGTACCCTGATTTCTTCCAATTTTACAGTTTTCTGCAGTGCACACCATTTTCGTTAGATCTTGCTCACTAAGTACCGCGTAGCAGAGTCTCTTAGTATGGCCGAAAATGGAGAGAAACGCCCCAGGGCAAACAAGGTTATCCTCGTCACGGGCGGGTCAGGACTGGTTGGAAGAGCCATCCATAAAGTTGCCATGGAAACAAAGAAGCCTGATGAGGAATTTGTGTTTGTTTCATCGAAGGATGCTGACTTAAAGTGAGTTTTGGCAGCCAATGAGTACATTGCACTTGTCTTTCTGATTGAAATTTGTTCTATTTAAAATTGTTTTGACCCCAGGAACTATCTGATCCTACTAGTAGTCTGAGAGTACATATTCACCAAGGATATCACAGCTATTTTTAGGGAATTTTTTTGTTTATAATTGAACTTTATATAAAGTTGTGTTGACCAATGAATAGAATATTATTCAGTTTATTTTTTTTCTAGGTCAGAACAACAAACTAGACTACTGTTTGAGAAACATCGCCCGACCCATGTCATCCATTTAGCAGCTCTCGTGGGCGGCCTCTTCAAGAACCTTTCACACAACTTGGACTTTTTGGTGAGGGTGCTTGTCAAATTGGAAACATTCCGAAACTGGTCCGAAAATTGGACAAAAATAGTTGAGAGGAGAAAAAAAAGAGCGGTTCAATTTCCAAATTCTTAGCTTACGGTGGTGACAAAAGTGGGCTTCATGTGTTGTGCTTGAAGCTTTGCTTTGGTGAAGTGGTAATGAAGAAAGTGGGATTTTTTGGTGGGTTATACCATGGCGACAAATTTTTTTGGGAGTGAAGCATCGACCCTCAAAAGAGCTGATGGTGAAAAGGAATTCCTGACATTAACAGCATAGTTGCCAGGAAACAAGACACTGCACACTGCCCAGATCCATTTTCCCCCCAATTTTAACATTTGTTACCCCAAATATTGGATTTTTACATGTTGTAAGAATCCATATTTTGCTATTTTTCACTTTTAGGAAAAACAAGTGTGAGCCTCACAGAACCATAACCCTTTGGGAGAGAACTTATACCATGTCTGCTATTAAAGCCCTCAAAAATTCTCTGTATAGATTCTTTTTTGTTCACAAAAAACTGCCTTCCATTTTGTATGGGCTGTCTAATTTTACAGAAGTTGGTCCTTTGCTGAGAAGTGCACATTTATTCTCAAAAGCAAACTGTGAATTATTTTTATTAGTTTAGTTACTGTATCTACATGTAGCAGTAATTTATTTGTTACTTTGTGTACATCATGCACTGGTACATGCAGCTGTATGAGATTTGTTCATCCTTTGTGAATTATTCCCTTGGTTTTTTACTGACTGCCAGCCATAGTTTTGCCACCCACTGGTGGGCAAATATAGCAGCTGCAAAAGTCCATTTTAATTGCTGTCATTGTTACAATCCCTCTTTTCTGGATGCCCCCTTGATTCCGTTTTACCCCGATCCCGTCCTCGGCACGTGTTCAGCCTCGTCCAAATTGTGGGAACATGTGATGTGTTTTACTGATGACACATGCACTGTTAACTGCAGACTGCTACCGGTACATATTTATGTATAATTGTAGGAACTTGTCTGATTAAATCTTACAAACTTTGTAAACAAAATTTCATTCTGTACCATTGACTGTTGTCATCCCTGCAGAGAGACAATTTACGAATCAATGATAATGTCCTCCAGTGCGCCTTTGAGTTCGATGTGGAGAAGGTGGTGTCCTGTTTGTCCACTTGCATCTTTCCGGACAAGACCACCTACCCCATCGATGAGACCATGATCCATAACGGCCCGCCCCACTCCTCCAACTTTGGGTATTCGTATGCCAAGAGGATGATCGATGTAATGAACAGGTTAGCTTAAATAGTCCTTTTTAGAATTGCTGTATGATATCAAACGTTCTCATAGGACATGTGATATGTACATGTATTCGTATTTGGGTCACTCCGTGAGGTTGGGGCACAATTTGTGATGGTGTCCTTGTTACATGGGTAACTTTTACTATCTGTCATGACCTGTAGAGTAGGTCATTTACTCTGTAAATATAACAGACACCTTTGTATTCAGCCTTGCAAGATGTATTTATAAACAATGTCAATTTGGAATCCACATGAAGGGAAATAACAGTTCATTTTTAAGGAACCCGTGTAACATTTGACACCATCGCAAGTTGTGCCCCAACCTCATGGAATGACCCATTTCCTGCTGGGCTGAGATTTGTCAAAATTTTCCTGACTTCGGGATTTTTCAAACAGTCTCTTTTAAAATCTGGAAAAACCTGAGTTTACCACTACTATATTTTTATGTATAACAGTTAATAGAAAACGTTATCTTAAGGATATCATTTGTAATGCGGCTCTGTAGCTGTTGGGATGATGAGCTCCCCATGAAACAAATTTAAAACATAGAATAAATAGAGCAGTTCTTGAGACCTGTGTCGTCATACCATCTTCCAGTTGAATTGAACTTATCAAAGTGCTTACTAGATGTATGACAAGGGAGTCAGATTGGCAAGGTACATGTAGTTCTTTCCTTGCCTTCCACCTCTGTGGTCCCGGGTTCGATTCCCAGCCCGGTCCACATGTGGATTGGGTTTTCAGTCCCTACCTGACTCTGTGGGTTTCACCCGCACTATTCCTCTTGGGTTTTCCTCCAACCTCTAAAACTGTAACTGCTTCCTACTGTCTCCTCTTTACTGATGTTGTTGATTGGGGGTTGTTTGGTGGCTGCCCGAGGCACCCTTGTATGCCATCGGCTCAACAGTGTTTAAATGTCTTCATTGTACAGTGCATTTGAACATGAAATTTGCACTTTATTAATGAATAAATTGTTATTATTAATATTGACCTGAAAAGCCTGTGTGTGTGGCCGGGGAAACGGAATGGATGTTAGACTGTCTGTGACTCGAATGACTCTAAAATGTGGGGTTCAATATTGGTTCCGTTGCTTTTTCTGATCTATATTAATGATTTTTTTCACATCTTTTGATGTATTTTCATTCACCTTATTTGCTGATGACTCCAATTTATTTATTTCGAATCGCAATTTTTCAACCCTTGTTAATACAGCTAATCATGGGTTGAAATCCATTTGTAATTCGTTTGCGGTTAACAAGTTGTCTCTTAATACTAACAAGCCAAATTTATATAATTTAGTACAACTGCTAATAAACTTCCAACAGACATTATAATAAATAATGTACCCATGGAAAAAGTTGACTGTATTAAATTCCTAGGATTATATAATGTATGTTGACTCTAAATTAACCTGGGTCAAACGTATTGATTACCTTTGTAAAATTATTGCAAGAAATATAGGAGTTATCAACAGCATCAAACATTTCATTCCGCTATAGTTTTAACTTCCCTTGTAGTTTTAACTTCCCTTTACAATACTTTAACCCCAACTGCCCAAAATCTGCCATACTCCAACAGCAGGTTTTGTGAGGTTTTGGCAGGTTTGGTACCATACCTGAGGAACTTCTTGTTGAATTTTGTGAGACTTCGGATGAAAGGCCAAGGGAGATGGTGTTGGATTCTGTGTGAGTTGGGACATACACGGGTCACCGTGTGCAGTATCTGGCTTGCTGTACCAGTTGTTGGACTGTGCTTGATTTTGTCAGGCTTGGTACTGTTCAGTGCAAGTCATCCTAGACTGCATAGACCCATTCATACCATATCACTCAAACTCCAACGGGCTCATTCTGTTGGAGTTTATCAGGTTTGGTACAATAACCTGCATGTACAAGTACGTAGACAAGTACATGTACTTGAACCTGTTGGATTTTGTGAGGTTCAGTATGCTTTCTAGTGCAGGAACCTAGGGGGTTAGGGTTAATATTATCGTATCTTAGTAATGGTATTCTTGCATGCAGAACATGCTCCCTAAGTAATCTTAATAGACTTTTCCTTTTACAAAAATGAGCCATTCGAATGATCAACTTTACTGATTTTAATGCTCCTACTGATCCACTATTTTCCAAACATAAGATGTTGAAAGTCAAAGACATTTACTTTAGTTGGGATCCCTTATGTATCAATTTGTTGCTGGTTCCTTACCATCTTCAATTAATGCGCTTTTCACCAGGAATCTTGATTTTCATTCTCATTATACTCGCCAAAGTGCAAATTTTCATCTGGCGTTAATGTATACATCTGTGGCCAAAAAGATCCAATCAGATACGAAGGACCAAGATTATGGAACTCTTTGAATTGAAGGATTACTATTGGTAATTATAGACTGTGGAACTGATCAGCTTTATCTCCTTATCTAAAATCTCCCAGGGTTCTTATTCTTTTTCATTTTTCCTATTCTTATTTCAAACTTAGGTAATTGTTAGCTGGCATACAGAGTAAGTGTCTCGTCTGTCTAGTGTTTGTCTTTTTGTGTAAAGTAGTTAATGAATAGTAACCATGAATTGATTTAGGGCCCTCAATCATAAGCTTTGCTTATTAGTGGTTACATGTACATGTACCTCCACGGTTCCCCCCCCACGGGTCAAATATATCGTGTGAAAATTGAGATCGTATGTATGCAAAACTGTGGAAATAAATAAACATGAACATGACTGCTCAAGCAGGAGAAAGGTTCGCATACATGTACATTTACATGTAGTTTTTCTGCTTTTATATTCCTTGTTTTATTTGCTGTGTTGCCAGCTGCTTAACCTTGGCTCTTTAGCTACAAGTACATGTACATGTAGGAAGTGTGACGAGGTATCTTTTAACTGAAACAAAAACCATACAAATGCAGGGGAAAATAATAAATAACAAGGAAACTACATGTACATGTTCCACTGTGACTGCATTGGCAAGAGCCAGTAAAAGTAAAAAAAGCACTATGGTCCTGAGACCTGCTGACCTTATGCAGTCGTTGCAACAGAACGATACAATACAATCAATGGGTGCTGGTACGTTACATGGACATGTAGTACATGCCTTGTCATTGTCTTCCATGCAGGGGTTACTACGTTCAGCACAATCGCAAGTTCACATCCGTAGTCCCAACCAACGTTTTTGGACCCTGGGACAACTTCAATTTGGAGGAGGGACATGTCATACCAGGCTTGATACACAAAGTGCACATGGCAAAGCGTAAGTTCTTACATTGAAGAAACTGGTAAAGATGAAAAGGAAGGCCATTTTGGGTTCCAATGGCATATGCACTTACACGCATATATGTATGTGCTTGGCCGGTCTTAAACACGCATTTAAGACCGGGTCAGGAGAATGGACTCAACTAATGCAGCGAGGGCATTATCAGCATTCATTCTCCTGAGCCAGTCTTAAATTCATTATCCTGAACATCCCCGTCCATTTTATTGTATACTCTTTGTGCAAGTTGTCCAGAAGAATCTCTATGTATGGACTTGGTGTGCGCGGGGCGTGTTTTGTGTGCGTTGGTGCACATAGACTCTTAATGGATTAAACTATTTTGTATCCAGGTGCCAGAGTGTTTTTAATGCAGTGGGCATTAATATCAAATCTACAAAATGTAAGTGGGCATTATCAACTGTGGTCAAGTTGCACATTGTTGAATAGGGAAACCGAGGTATTTATAGATTCAATATAAACATGTTCATCAGGTGTGACTAGTCAGCAGCCAATGTAGGCACTTCTGCTATCTCTGCACTTACAGGTACCCATTTATACACCTGGGCACATAGGGAGAGGCAAGTAGGGGGTTAAACGATTTGGTCAGCGTCATGACCTGTTACAGGTTGCTGCATTTTGAACCTCCTGACCCTGTGATTGGGAGTCACAAACCCTGGCCACTGGGTCACAACTTGCCCCAATTTCATTGTTAGAGTTTAGTCATCTGCAGATTTTTCCTGCCTGAATGGGAGGGGGGGGTTCAACTTCCTGGTAACCATGTCCCTTGGGGCAACATGCGGCAGCATGCATGCATGCACTTGTTCCTCTTAGGTCAGTGCTGAATATTCGAATATATGATTAAACATCAAATACTTGAATATTTATTTTGGAATCAAATATTCCCAGCATGTAGTGAATCATACAGTGGAAAAATTCATTTTCTTTGTGGTAAGAGAGCCACATTGTAAAACTTTTCACGGTGTTATAAGAGAAAATGTAAAGGCAGGTGATGAATACGGTACATGTAGGTCTTAGCAATAAGACCAAACAATTAGTTGTGTTCCTGCCTACCAATCAACCCTACTTTTATTGTCTAAACATAACAGTTACTGCTGTTTGTATTTTTCTGATGTTCCTGTGTTCAGAATCTGTTTTTGTCTTACACCCGGCAGGAGACAGCACTCCTCTTCACATCTGGGGTACCGGCTCCCCCCGCCGTCAGTTCATCTACTCTGAGGACCTGGCCCGTCTGTTTCTCTGGGTTGTCCGGGAGTACGAGGAGGTTGACCCCATCATCTTGTCCGTGGGCGAAGAGGATGAAATCTCCATCCAGGAGGCAGCAGAGTTGGTAGTGGAGGCTTTTGACTTCAAAGGGCCAATCATTGTATCCTTTTATCTCATGGTGCACTTAAAGTTTACATGTAAGTGCTCTGTATTCAAAGTTAGAGAGGACCATCTACAGCTGTACAAAAATTAAATGAGGAAATTTAGTTAAAAACCATTTTTGATGGAAAGGTAATAACATTTCTAAGCTCCCTTTGATACATTGGTGTGGGCACGTTCGAGTTACGGAGGTATTTTTGTACAAAAAGCCTTTTAACCACTTCCTGCTGGATGGATTTTTCTTGAGCGGGATGTGATGGCGGGACCTTGTCAAGATTTTCCGTTTTCAAAATTGTTTAAAATTTCATGTGTTCATTTACTGGACGTTTACACCCCCCACAAACGACTCTCTGGTGGCTACTCTAATCTGTCAGGCAACCTTCATTGACGCCTGAGTATTCAGCCCAGAATTGTGTGGTGTTGCATAATTTGCTTTGTTCCGGTGAATGCCAGAAGCGTCTTTTCATATGCAGCTGGATTAGCGAGCAGCGGCGCTGTGTCGCTTATCAATAGGGCCCTGGAGCACTTTGTCCGCAGTGCTAATCCGCGGGCGCACTATGCCAAAAACAGTTGTATACTGTTTCAAAACAGTGCTGGATTACCTTCGAAAAATGGGAGTTGAAAAATGATGACAATTACCAGTAGCAGGTCATTTGTTCCGAGTACAGTCTTTTGTTACACTGACCAACTTTTTTGCCCGAAATCGGGCTCCCCAGCGGGGAAGTGGTTAACCCGCAACGTATGTATCACTGATCCAGTCCACACATGACACGACCGGCACTCACTATTTGTGCATGTGCAGCATCTGGGACATTTTTGCGCAGTAGCTGGTGAGTAGGTGGTTTGCAGCGCTGTTGTCTGTTCTGATGCTCCTTGTCAAAATTTTGTTTTTCTGTTTCATATACTTGCAAAAAGAGGATTTTAAAGGGGAAATTAAAGGTAAGAATTTAGTTACTAGAGGTATTAAAGATTTACCCTGACCTTTAGAACAATGTGCTGCTTGCTTCCTGTTTAAAAAAAAAAGCCCTGTTTCAGGCACATGGTCCACTGCGGTTGCACGCAATACCATTTGTTATTAAGTGTTCTCTTTTATGGGTACCCAGGTACCTGATGTTGACAAAAAACGGGTGCCTGGTTCCAAAAATACCCGTAAATGCACACCCCTTGATTCAGGTATTGTACCAAGAGAGGGTGCACTTCAGAACATATTTTAGGAATACATGTATACATGCACGAGGCAGATTTCAAGAGCCCAATGGTTGTGCATTTTCCTGAAATATACAGTACACTGTTGGCAAAAGCAAAACTTCAATATGTTAAACTCCTGTTTTTAAGTTTTGAACAGTTTGCCTCAATCAAATAAAAAATGCGTAAAGAGCCCCTAGCTGGCCAAAGAGAGGGCACAATTTTCCAAACAACGGAGGTTAATCTGGTGGTATATGCACTCCACTGGTTCAGGAACAATTATGAAATGCATGTGTTAAATTGTTGCAAATACTTCTGGAGTACCTAATGAAAATTCAACAGTCGAGGTGGGGCATAACCAGGAAGATATAGTTTTTCCTGACTAGTGAGCAAACAGAATGACACCAGCAAATCGGATGGCCAGTTCAAAAAAACAGCGAGCACTGCCAAGTTGCGCAAGTACCTGCCCGACTTCAAGTTCACTCCTATTAAACAAGGTGAGAGCATGTTGAAGGTTAGGTTTTTAAGTAATTTGGGACTGTGGCCTACCTGTAGTGGTTAAGATTCGGGACTCATGGTCAGAGGGTCAGGGGTTGAAATACAGTTTCTGACCATGAGTTGTGGCCTTGGCAAGTCACTTCTCCAGCCAAGAGTATAAATGAGTATTGTTACCTGTGACGGAAAGGCATCCCATCCATTGTGAAATAGAATTATTGTCAGTTATTTCACTGTTGATGCTATTATAAGTTCTTTACGTTTTCACAGAGACTAATCTTCCTGCCAAAATTTAGAAGCCAAATTCAGAAGCCTGAAGGGGCACTGCTCGGATTCAGGTGGCATGTAGAAACTGTCCTTTGGACTACATGCATATGCATTTCAGTCGCGAAAATATGCCTGTAGTTTAAATTTAAGAATACTTGTGACCTTTCCACAACAGTCACGACAGTGGCATACCCTGGAGAAGCAGCCATGAGATGTTTCCTAATGGGATTTCAGAGTGGTTCTCCATTCAGTTCCTGTTTGTTCAATTTTCAGCATTCTGTGCTGTAAACAATATGTACTTCTGAGGTTCTTGCAGGAACTCTTCTATTTTCTTCAGGTTCAATTATCATGCCTTTAGAAGGAAAATGGTGATTTCTTTCTGAAAAGATTGTCCAAATTTTGTTTTCATCCTTGAACGAATCCTCTAAACAAAGAAGCCAGCACTGTTTTGTTATAACAATGTTGGAATTTTAATTTTCCCTGATTCCCTCTGGATATGTCACTGACAAGTGTACTAGTGTGGCACCATCACAGCGACGAATTGATTCATGGATTATTCAGTTGTGATCTGACTTGTTTAAAGATGAGACTGAGGGGTTTGGACTTCAAAACAGAGTTTGGCCATTACTGACGTTCAGAATAGTTGCTGACTGCAGACAGGCATGTATGTAGAAGTACATGTAGTTGTGTTGGATTGTGGTTGCCAGTGGACACACTTTCAATTTGGATTTTCTTTCTCCTTTTTTTGGTGCAGCTGTCAAGGAGACGGTCGATTGGTTTGTTGAGAACTACGACATCGCTCGCAAGTAACCTTGGAAGATGCCTGTTCATCTGGTGATAATCGTCTGGTCGACATAGATGGTTATTGGCATCTGTTGCTCAGAAACACACGTAGGAGAAGCTTGTAGAAGGTACATGTAGATGGAAACAGTTACTAGCTCCAGAAAGGTGAAGTTTGTCTCTTAGGAATCAAGAGGGGATGGAAACAGGCAAAGTTGTAGAATAAACATCACAAAGTTGGTTACATGCGCAAGAGCCATGCCTTTTACATTGAAAGGCTTACATATCTCTTTTTGTCTCGATGGGGATTATGCAGTTGAGGTAGCTGGGCAACTGTAGGTTTTGCATCGTCTTTAAATGTAGCAAGGCTGGTGATTGGATTCTGCCACGTATTACGTAGATTACCCATCGGTCTGAAAGATAGTAACTAGCTGGTCAGTGTCACAGAATCTTGTCCTGAAATGAAATTATCCTCACTGCTGACAAGACGACATCAGGGCCTTGACAACCAGTCACAGAACACTGTTCTTGCCATTCTCAAGAGCTTTCGGCCTGGTGGCACCAGTGATTTTGTGGGTACCGGTAAACTGGTACTGCTGCATTTTCTCTTGTGTGGGTTGATGGCACATGTGTCTCACATTGTAAGACCATCTAACTCTGTTGTTTTGTTTGCTTTTCTCTGGCAAGTTGCCGCTCAAATTTACATTTCACGTTCAAGAGGCTTGCTGATTGTCACTGAGAACCCCTAGACTTGGATTTCCCCTGGTGACAGAAATTCACTCCAAATAATATATTTCTAGTCCCTGCTCCGTGCAGAAACGAGATGGTTGGGTGCACAGGTTCATGTGTGTTTGGCGTGGGCCTACATGTAGCTGAGCATGTGCGACTAATTTCTTTTGGAATGTACTGTCTTCAAGTGTTCGCTGGGCACCAGTCGCAATGACCTCCACCAACCCCTCTCATTCTTTCCCAGTGAGGGGTTGCTTCTTCATAGAGTGGACACTGATGGTCAGGAACTAGTTGCTGAGATTCCCCATATCCTCCATAAAACACAGCATACAGTACACGTACACAACTCAATACAAACACCCTGTCTGTTTCATCAGGACACGCGAGGCAGCCATACCCTCTTTTGTTTGTTTTTAAATGAATTTCAATGAAATGGCGTCGGGTCGTTTATCTCAAGTACAGCTGTTGGGGGAGAATTTGTGTAGGAACAATCGCCAGTGTTGACAGGACAACGTAGAGACCAAAATTGTTTGCCAAAGGAAAAATCATGGCATTGCAATTTTCTCATACATAATAAACGACTTTGGCAAGTGTAGCCAAGCTATTTTGGGAGTTCATAGTAGTCTTGTGATATTCGTACTCGTATTCAAACTCTCATACTCATGGAAATATACTCCACTACAGCACTGGCTAATAGTGACCTTTCCATGGGGAAATAGTTCTGTGAAGAGCTATTGGTCCAGTGGGTGTAGGACCAAGGAGACAGGTGGTCAAGTAGACTAGCCCCATGCTGTGTATCTGCCAGTTCTCAAATCAGCTTTGAAGTATTTACTGTTGGAACTAAATGGAAACTCATTGTCTGAACTCCGGCCTCATAGAAGACAAGTTGAATGTTCTGCAGTGGAGTGGGGGGTGTCTCAAAATCCAGGCATGTAAAAGCCGGAAGGGAGAAGAGTCTAGATGTCGGTGTTGGCTTTCAGTCTGCACATCATCTCCAGAGGGTGGTCTGACTCGGCCATGGCAAGGGAAGAGCCGCTTTTTATTTTGCTAGCGTGCAGAGTAGCAGTTGTACTCTTCTCAACCCTGTGTGTTGGTCATTGTTTGATCGGAATCTCAGGAATTCTTTTCAGACATCTATTGAGGATGTATCAGATAACAGTAGTCTAGGGTGTGTATAGGGATTGGAGATGTGGGGGGGGTATCCCTCTGTCCCATATCTTGCTGGATATATCATTACGTTATGGCATCAAATGCCAAGCAAGGTATGGATTTTATACATGAACCTATCAGGGAAGTGAACCTTTTTTGTTCAGAAATTTTCTCCAGTGCCTGCTCACTAAGTCACAGATGGATGCATAGCACATTAATTATAAAAAAAAATTGGGTCCTTTCATGTCAGTGGTCAATTAAAACACTTCTTGGGGTCAGTGTCACAGATTTTCCTGAAATTTGTTGAAATTGATGCATCATATGAGAAAACTCCAAAAGCCAATTGTAAGTGTTTTTGGGTCATATGGTTTGTGAGTTAAATGTCATTGAGTTTTTGACACATTACTTTTCAGTGTAATGTGGAATGTCTGTCTCCCGATGGGAATGCAAGAAAATGAATAGAGATTGTTTTAATCTCAAACTAAAGCTCATAATGCGAGAAACCACCTTGTTTCCAAATGTGACAAAAATGAAGAATTTCAGCATCATGTCAAGCAAAATGAATTTTGACCTTTGACCCCTTTGCCAAAAGAAAGTCCTGAATGTATTCACTATTACAGAATGTAAACATGGAATCTCATGACGTTTGGGTGGCAGATGAGTTGAACGGAGAGCAGTAAAGTCAAACTGCATTGAACTGAAAGTGAAAGAAAGTATGTTTCTTTGTATTTTTATTTCAAATCCTCAGCGTAGCAGTATGGGAAAAAATGATGGCATGCTGTTGAGTATGTAAGAAGGTGGAAAATGATTTATAGATTTTATGTTGGCCCACTTCTCGAGTAGGATTGTACATGAAATTCATTGTTTATCCTCCCGTCACATAATTGAGTGGGAATGTCTGAAAGGTCTATTGCGTAGACATTCATGTGGGCATCGATCACCGAAAAAAGTATTTCAATTATTTTTATCAGTTATTTGAATTGTACTTTTAGACCTGCATGCTAGTATCTTGTTGATTTTTCAACAGTGTTGTCTTTTGATTTGAAAGAAATCTTTTGATTTTTTGGAGCTCGGCTATTTTGGGACATTGTTTAATTGAATGTTATAGATGGAGCGTATTTATATCCATAAATTATCAATTTAAATGAAAGTATGATATGAATACAAAAGTTCATATGAATATGCAAATACATTCATAGTTTCCAGATGTCACATTTGACTTCGACATTTTGGTATTCTAATTTTTTTTCATTTATTTTATGCAAGTGCATCTTACAGGATTTCTTTGTTTCCCAATTTCCGTATCTTTTGTCATTGCTCATATTTATCTTGCTTCTGTATACATGTACGTCATTAGTGGTTAGGAAACATTAAACTTCAAAAAGGAGGCTGATTTGATGATGTACATGTACATGTACGTATAGCTTAATTTGCCCTTTGTCGGTCTTCTGTGTGTAAACAGTTCAGTCAAAATCCACTGTAACTGTAAACTGCGCCCTCTGCTGATTGGATACGTTTGTGCCACGGTGTTGTGCACTTAAGAAAATATAGAAATGGTGTGAGCAAAGATATTTAATGCAGAAGTCACGACCTTCGTAAGTGTTTAATTAAATGGCAAACTGAGAAGCATCGGTAACTCGTGACCATTACGGACAGACGAAGTAATGGACCCCGTTGGCCCGTACTAGCCAGTGCTTGCTACCCAAAGTGCTGTACACATTTACTTAGTTCCTGCTAGTTGTAAGCGCTTCGGAAGAAGGAGGCATCATAACGTTTCTACATAGCGAATTCTTTTTACACATCACGCTGGGGAATCTCGACTTGAATAAATGCTACGATCGGCAGCTCTGGAGTTTTTTCTCAAGTGGAAGTAAAGTCCGGTATTTCAACAAGGGAAGCTTGTATGAGGCGTGAAGACTATAGTCTCCTTTTAAGAGCAGCAAAAAACCCCCATTTTTCTCCTATAGGAAAGTACATGATGCATCCCCAGACAGTTACGTCCATGATAAAACATGCTGCCACTCACTGGTGGAGTGCTTCTCCAGTCGCAATGTCGGACGTATCAGTCAGGTGGGGTGGACGTGTGGGGTGTCAGCTTTTTTGAAAGACTTCCAGGGCAGCATCGGGAAGCATGATTGCCTGAGATTTTCGCTTTGCATGAGAAAAGAAATTGATCCTAAAAATTCTCGGAGCAGTTGCGGATGGATTTCGAAATCGTTTTGATCTTACCTTTCAGTGGCAGGATGCCGTAGCAGTCATTAATTAAATGACCAAAATATTCCGATCACGTCACAAATTGGCACTTGCTATTGGGTTGAATTGATTACTGTGCTTAACCACTATAGCTCAACGTGTTGTGACGTCATTAATATGGACTACTAGGTCGACGAGTACAACAGTTACACGATCGTTCTAGAAACGAGAATCCAGTTAATGAACAATTGGTCCTGCGAGATTAAAAAGCTCTAGCGTCAGGAATTACAACAAAGCCCTCTTTGAAAGGAAAATCCTTTAATTTTGATTATGAATTAACAATATTTTGGAAATAGCCTCTGGGATCGGCTACTTAAAAAAGGATCTTAATTTAATTTACTTGTGTTCAGGGCTCCAGGATTCTGGTGAATGTTGTCCTTTTAATTGAATTGTTTTACCAAAAACTACTCCCGTAATTGCTCAAGCGTGAAGCAATGTAGAAAAAATGAAGTCTGCTTTCCACTGCCGATGCTCGAAGAAATTAAACATTTACTTCGAAAGCTTCAGTTGAGTAAATGGATAAGATACAGTAATAAAGGATAAATCAATGAATGCCATGGACTAAACCCTAGCCTTTGTAAGGACAAACGCCAACAAGCCCACATTCCAGCCTAACCAACTTAACAAACTTCCACGTTAGCAGCTAAGACCAATTTCTCGAAATCTAAGCTTCGTCTTCAGAAAAGTTAACTCTCCTCTACTCATCATATTAAGATGCGTACAACATGTCCTAATTGCGCGACGTAATTAAAGTCGTTATTCCTATATCTTATATCTGATAACTCAGTGCGCTGAAATTGAACGGCAATACGGGCGTTTCGCAATAGTGCACCACCAAGAGATTGCAACGCGTTGACCAATCACAATGCGCGAAATTTGTCGACCCAATGCGCGTTCGGAAAGGGTCGACAAATTTCGCGCTGTGATTGGCCAACGCGTTGCAAACTCATGGTGGGGCACTATTGTGAATCGCCCCTATTGCGCTTATGTGTTTCCCCCCCGTTGAGAAGCTTGTTGACACGTGTGCCTGGAAAAAGGTCGGAGGCGCTTACGCCCTTTTGCAGGGAAGCATGATCACAGCAGAAAAAATGTTCCCGGCAAAAGGGCGTAAGAAACAATCTGTGTATTTAGTAAAAACACATAAATTTACTTCAAAATCAACACAGGTTGTACAAAAAGCAACCTTCGAACTACTTATGAAACAACTTGAATAAAACGTGTTTTAACTTTTTGCAAAGAAATCTTTATATTTTATTAATAGAAATAATACAGTTACGTACGTTCGTACTTTTGCCGGGATTTTTTGTGTATTTTGTTTTGCAGTGATCATGCTTCCCGGCAAAAGAGCGTAAGCGCTTACGCCCTTCTTCCAGGCACACGTATTTAGAGATATTCCGAAACAACAAAAGTCTCCCTAATCATCCTCTATCAAGGACTTGCGTGAAGTGTGTCGAGGTGCATTTTACAATACCAACTAAAAGGCGGAGAGGAAAATCAACTTTTTTAAAAGCTCTGTGACTTTGAAATAATAGAAGATTGCTCGAGTTTGGAAAAGTCATGTCGAAGCGTATTAAGATCGAAAACCCAGATTCTTTATAGTGCGCAATCATGAATACGCATGTGTCCATCAGTTGTGGAAGAGGGGAGTTTCGGCAAGCAACCCTCGACCACTCAACATAACATCAACCTTGGATATTTTGCGCATGCTATGTAAACCCGCTGCCGTTTTAAAACGACAGATACATGATACAACTCCGATATGGAGAAGTTTTCAAGAAAACACAGTCGTTTTAGCGCGTTTTGGGCTAGGCACACTCTTAGGTGCCATACCCACAACGAAAGCAAACATTTTGCCTCCACTCACCTTTTATCAGTCAGTGACCCTTCAAAAATGTGCGGATGAAAATGAACCCTTATCACAACTTGACGATGTTCTTGAAAATTGCATCCGAGGCACTGTCCCTGGAAGTCCTTGTCTGCTCGGTACGACAAAACACGACTTGATGGACGATATATTGCATCCTTCAGAAGGCATAGGCCTACATAAATATTTATGGCGTGATATCTTCATTTCAGAATCGTTTTCTGATTATTATATGGCCTATACATGGCTTAGATCTTGTATGATACATGCAATGCTTATAAACAATCATTTAATTCGACAAGGATAGACCTTGCAAAATGCTGGTATTAATCCACCAAAGAGTGACTCATAATTTGTAATGCCAATGAAGATATGGCTGAAACTGTAATGCACGGCACAGCGTTCCCAGTTTTGGACCAGCGTCATTACTTCAGCACTGATTTTGGCGGGAGTCGACAAAGTCACATCACCTACAAGACAAGGCCACCTACCCATCGATGAGACTATGATTCATCACGGCCCACCCCACTCCTCCAGTTTTGGATACGCCCACGCCAAGAGGATGATCGACATTATGAACAGGTCATTTGAGAATCTTCATTTTCATATCTTAAAAACGGAAACCCATCTCCACCCCACCCCATCCTCACCCCTTCCCCGCCCCCATCTCCTCCCCTCCCCCGTCCTCATCCCCACCCCCAATAAAGTGTTATTTGTTCTGTGCAAGGTAGATGAGCTAGGGTGCCGCTCTTCGGTTCACTTCCTTTTTGGTGCTTTTTCTCTTTCAGGTTTGACGAACAACCTGAACAGTTGAAGCTTTGCATCAGTTTCTTAAAAACGAGGCTGAGGTGATTTAGTTTGATTTCCTCTTCCTTTTGTAAATGCAGGGCCTGCTTGCGAAAGTACAACTGCGGATTCACTTCGGCAATTCCAACCGACGTTTTTGGTCCCTGGGATAATTTCAATCTTGAGGACAAGCACGTCATTGCGGGTTTGATACACAAAACGTACATGTCAAAACGAAAGTTGTTTTCACTTTGTGGAAACAAAATTCACCGATTTGCACTTAAATCTGAAACTGAGTCCAGAATCCACACTCCGTGACAGGAAATAGTGCGTCATTTTGTATCTGGGGCACTGGTTCCCCCGCCGTCAGTTCATCTACTAAGAGGACCTGGCCCGTCACTTTCTCTGGGCTGCCCGGGAGTACGAGGAGGTTGACCCCATCACCTTTTCGGTCGGCGAGGAAGATGAAATCTCCATCCAGCAGGCGGCTGAACTTATCGCTGAAGCCTTTGGCTTCCAAGGACCCATCGTTGTATCCTTTGCCTTGCTGTGATTCTCATTAACAATGAATTTTTCCCTGAATAATTCGACCTTATTTCAATCACGTTTTTCCCTCCCCTCTCAAAAAAAATCTACACACACTGATGTTTATGAACAGCCAGTCGTTTCAGAAATTTTGAACTCATAATCATATCGAATGTAACATTCACAATGGGTTATGTGATAAAGTACCCTGCTTTGAAAAACCCAGATGGACATTTCCTTAAGTGGTATGGACGCTGAACAGAATGACAACAGCAAATCAGACGGCAAGTTCAAGAAAATGGCCAGCATCGCCAGGCTGCGAAAGTGTCTTCTGGACTGCAGTAAAACAAGGTACGAAATCCTCGAAACCACTGACCCTGTGTTCAACAGTGGGAACTTTGGGAGAGAGTCGTAGCCCAAAAATATTTTATGTGTAGTGCTGAGATGTTATTTTTACCATCACCTTCGATGGCCAAACAAAAAGGAAACATATTGGATGCAGGTCTCAGGTGGTTTATGGCATGTGCCAGTAGACCCGGCCTTCAATCTGTCAAATTCGTTACTTTGTCATTACACAATGTTCATTGGGTTCAGAAACAATTCAGCATTTATATTTTGAGCTTTTGTTTTGATGCTTTTTTCTTTTAATACGTTGTGTATTTCTTTAACTCTTACGATAGGGTTCACTAGAAAATCAGTAAAATCTATTTATGTATAATAAACTAACTTTATTATTTTGTCCAGTTGCTTTTCCAGTTGTCACGTTTGGGTTTTGTTATTACTTAAATTATGATTCTGGCACACTAAATTGTGCTATGCTGCGAACCTTTTATTTCAGTCTTTTGTTTATTTTCATGTTGTGATGTTCCCAGCTCTCAAGGAGACGGTAGATTGGTTTGTAATAACTGATTTGCTTTTTCGAAGAGTTTAATTACAGAGGGTAATTTCGTGTTTGAGGCCGTTTTTGTACAAAACTACGGATAAATCTAAAGATTCTGCTAGGATCGAAACGTCAAGCCCTCCATATTTTGAGATTTGTATTTTAGGTCATTGTAGTCAGCAAGCAGTTTGCTGACTATAAAATTTCTAATATTTTGTGGAGATTATCCGCTTTAAAGTTCGCGATTAAAACGTCGTAGTTTGCCGGCTATGACTTTCGTCAATATCATTTGGTGTAGCAGGGCAAAAGCAAATTCCCTTTTTTTTCGTAAATTTTAGGGAAGGGCCATAATTCATCTTATTCCATGGAACTTTGAAACGTTTGATGCTAGATTTATTGTACCGGTATGCAATGAATTCATTTGATTGATATCAATTATGCTTTACCAGATGCTTTTCATTATTCTATTATTCAGTTAAAGAAATTTATATCCAAATTAGGGTCCTTCTCTTTAACCACAAAACCCCTGGAATTATAGCGGATGTATGCATTTCTTTCAAACAGTAGCGGAAGGGGGGCGGGTCGCACCCAGGTCCCCCCTCCATATTTCGATTTTGTTTTATAGAGATATACGTTTCTCTTTTCCCAGTTCATATTGCAGTTAACAACACAAGTAGTTTAATAATTTTAAAGACAGTAATAACCTGTTCATCTCCATTTGAGCCCCATGTTTTTTGTAAAGATGGAACCCCCAGGCCAAATATTTTAAAAACCGTCTCATTGTCAAAATTAGAATTTAATGTTCACTGAAAAGCTGCTTATTGCGAATAAATTCTTTGTATTTCTTGTATTTTTAGATTAGACTGGTGGACCGTTAAAGGAGTTTCCCATTAGTTGTATAAACAAGTTACCAAATGTGCACGACTCCATGCTGTCTCAATAAGCATAAACAATTGGACATTCACACTGTCTTAACCATGCCCGAATGTTTACCATGACGACGCATGCGCACTTCCCGTTGTTCCAAACGGCATTATTATATACAACTTGCGATCACTCTTAGGTAAGAAGAGCATAATAGCCTAGTGGTAGGCACCTCGATGTTCACTCTGAAGGTCTTGGGTTCGAATCCCTCCCGTGCTGTCGGTGAAGACTGTTCTTTTTACTTAATTCTACTTGGCTGTATAAAAAGAGTAAAACTGTATTTTATTTTATTTTAATTTATCCTGTTTGCTAGGCTACCGCCACGGAACTCCGATCCACCGCGGGACTCGAACCCGGGACGGTTTGCTCTGCAGCCGACACCTCTACCAAGTGCGCTGTCTGGGTTCCCCAATGAGATGCGCTCATTCCTAATATTTATCTAAAATACTCGGATGGGGGAAAACGAAAATAACAAAGGACTATCTGCATAAGAACATTTGGCTCTTGAGGGCAGACTTTCCGAGTTAGACAAAAGTCATGTACCTCTCATAACCGCCCTAGGGTTGGAATTCTGCAGTATCAAGCATCGCACGTTGTGGACTTAATGCTCAAAGTCAATACTCCTGATTAAAACTTTGACATGGTTTCCAGTGCAACTTTTCGTTTATTCGACCTCCACTGTAAAGATATAAAGTTTTCACGTGAACAGTAACATCAAATGAACAGTTAAATATCAATGGAATGGTATTATAAGATGGACAGTTAAAACATGAATATCCGGTGTTGTAAACAAACAGAGTGACAAATACTCAACCAAACACAATCGTACTTTTTATGGAACGGAATTTATACGCATTAATTGTAATCATAAATATTGTAAAATACATTGTAACCTGTGGTTATACTTTGCACAATTTTCTCAGTTGAGGATTTTTTTTCTGAAAACATCCAATGTTAATGGTCAATGTGATCCGAAACCAAAATAACTCCCACACTGGTATAGGAACAAACTGAAAAACGTTGGGGCACGTTAAAAGAGAGATAACCAATCACTGCCACAAAAGTCCCGATTTTACAGAAAGTGACAATGGCGCACCTGCTGAGTAATAGTTTTCCAAGGAAATGGTTCCCTTGGTTTTCTGCAGAATTTGTTCAAAAAATAAATCTGTCTCAACATGAATTTGGTACAGTGCACAAATGAATGTTGCATCAAATTTGGTTTAAAATGGTCGCTTTTCTCCTGTTTAAACTGCCCCAAACATAAAGACAAGCTACATCTACACAAACGTCTTTAAACCTGGATTTTTTTAAAAGTTTTCTCCTTAAATATTTAATAATCTGTGAATTCAATACAGCAACCGCATAAAATTTACAGTTGTATGTAAATACATTTACAACAAAAATACATTACATTTTAAAATCTGTGTAGTGTAGTCTGTCACTCTAGACATAACAATTTTTGTACACCGAATTCAGGCACTCGATAATATGATTTTTTTTGTTGGCATACATGTATATCAGTACAGTACATTGGTGATTATTAAATGGAACACCAAATAATTGTACGTGCAATGTATTTTTAATAACTACATGTAGCGACTTTCAACTAGCACTGACAGTTGCAAAGCTACAAACCAAATATAGCTCAGAGTGTGCCCATACTATTTAACATTTTTAAAAACGCTTATATATTTATCAGTCACCACTTGCACATAAGTCGTCTTTTCAAAATTTTTGGAGACGTTGATGGTTCATTGCATAATTTCGTCTTCCCCGACTTTGCTTAGCATAGGGGCACACAGCTCCGTGGATGTTAAATTGAATACAGTGCCATTCTGAATTTAACATGGCTCCTCAAAAATACTGAATTAAAAAATCCTTACAGTAAAATTTACATGGGCAACTCTGAGCATAAAATTTTGCATAAGAATAAAAAAATTACAATAGTGCATTCTCACTGGCCTCGTGGGCCGGCTAGTGTCAGTGTTCTACATGTGCATGCCCATACTGCCAAAGAGTGGTCGACTCATTTCTAAATCTCCAACTCAACTGCTGGCACACAACTTGCGTGCCTTTTTGAGCCTCCTTTTTTGTTTTGTTTTTTTCTCTTTCTCTGCGGGGAGCTGAACCATTTTCAAGAAAGCATTTAAAAAAACAACTGACACCCTTTCCGGGGTTCCTAACTTTTACACCCATTTCCAGGCTACTGGTTAGAAAAGGGCATGTCATAAACGTACAAACACAAGGTGAATTTGTAACTACTCATACGGCGCCAAACCAACAAAACTAAAAGCACACTCCCCCAGAATGCACAACAGGCTCAATTCTTTCTTGTCCAGATATGCCAATGAAAAAGGCGAATGTTATCAACACATGTCCATGTATGTTATATACCTTGTCAATTGAAATAAAAGCCATATACTCGACTTGGAAATACTTGACTTGTGTTTCAAAAAATGAGTTTCAAATAATTTGCTGTATCCCAATCAAATGGAAATAACCTGGACCTTTTTATTCTGTTTGAAACCAAACCAACTGCAATTGTCCTTGAAAAATATCAATATAAAAAAAAAATCAAAATACTGAACTAATCGTTAGTACGCACCAAAAAGCTAGATACTGGAATCTACATATATGGAGTAAAAACCGCTGAATGAAATTAGCGTGGTCCGTGAAGATCAACAGCCCTGGCTAAAGAAACAACTGCAACGCAAAAGCGGCTGGACTGTCTACCCTTCACCGCCCCATGGGAAATTTGCATATTAAATCAACTTCCAAACTGGGTCGGTACGTTATTAGTACAGAATGAGATTGACTGAAAAGGCCTTCTCTCCTTCCCAACCCACTTTCCCCATCGAGTACTGTACATCGATTTGCAAAGTTTCTGCTCTGTGAAGGGCTTCGGCTTGGATGAGTGAGAACGATCGCATTTGCCAATTGCCATTTGCGCACAAATTATGCATCACTCACGGGACTGCACAGCTAACAGCTGGAACATACTTGGATCTTCACAGTGTATGCGGTGCAATTACATGTAAATGGACTACAAGACAAACTCCGTTGGGAGAAAAGTAGCACAATCATTATGATGCTAACAGCATTTTCTCATGCAAGCAACTACTGCACCCAGCTACATGCATGTCCACATGCACAGAGAAGAAATAATTTACTCTAGCAAAAAACAAAAGCCGAAATCGTGATGGACGGACTATTAAGTTGATTCTCTCCTTAAACATTTCTGTCAAACTAATGCATCCTTCAATATATTAAGTACAAGTATTTTGTTGACTGTCGATATTTACAAAATATATACAATGTTCACGGACATAACGTTAGTCACTTTGTTGAAATAAAATAAAATTGGAAAATGTGGCAACATGCATCCTATATGTATCAAATCAGTCAAGGTGATAGTAAGAAGTACGGAAGTTAAGATTCAAAACAATTAGGCTCAAAATACCTGCCGATAAAACTAAGTAACGAAAAGTAGCCGAGGTGGTTTAAAACAATTTATCTATTTTTATAATTTTATATATAGCTATAATGCTTTTTGTTGCGTGATGAAAAACAAATGCACATGTCATTTCCAGCTACTGGACACGTTGGTACTGCGGTGATTTTTCTGATAGATCATGTCCAGATCAAAATTTAAAAAAAAACTGAAATTGCTCTGGATCATTAGACCAATAATAAAAAAACAAAACTGGTAATTCTGAACACGCATGGATTCACTGAATTCTCCAAGGAATTGTTTTGCTTTCAAAACTACATGTATTTTCCAGTTTTGAACCACACAGAAATGACTTTTTATTGATATTCTGGCACCATTCACAACAACATGCGTGAGGGCTGCATGACTTTTGTCTGTTGCTACTACAAATCTACTGTGCCACACAGGCGCAGCCTTCGAGGAACTAAAAAAAAACTCATGAAACTACAAGCCAGAATCGAGGTACTCAACACGTCATGCATGCATGCACGCGTTATGTCACGTACATTAGCACATTCCAGACGGCGCGGCAATGCAAAGAGGCATCCAGGCCTAGCCTACGTGTAATTGGCCGTGCAGCCAGCCTCAGCTGACAGTGAGAACACCTGATCCCCGCTGGCTCAAATGGCTCTGGCAAACTGAGCCGACTCCTACAATACTCCCTGGCCATTTCTTCCCCGTTATCCTTCATTGAATTTGTTTTGAGTCCCAGGGAGCTGAGACAAACCATGGAGATTCGCCCCTGATATGATATGAATGATAATTGCTTGATTACTGAGGCCACTGTTCGCTTATTACTTTATATAATGCAACAAGAAGCTAAAAAAGAGAATTTGAAACTGTTTCCAAGTTCTCTGTAATTTTAAAGTAGGAACTGGAGTAGTTACAAAACCAGTGAATTAGATGAATAAATGTTGCTCTTAGATTGCGCAAAGCAGCTGGACAATATCCGTATCAATAATTTGTGTACATCTAATACGTCTGGTGGATTATTGTTGGTAGGCCGGTCTGGGTGGGGTAGGTGGATTGCTGCTCGATACATACATATTCTCCCCTTCAAATGAGGCAAAATTCTTTCGATAATGATGTGAACGAGTACATGTAAGTACATGCTAGAGTTTTCCAAGGTGATTATGTTCAAAGCAACTTTCCTGCAAAGGCCATCATTTCCTTGAGAACCCTCACCCAAAATCGTCACTACATGTAGCTATATGCATATTAAAAATGAAAGTTTAAAATATACCACTCTGATGGATCGACACCAATGTCTCTATTCGCATGCATCAAAAAGATACAAATGTTCCAGAACTTTTGAAATCCCACTAACAGCTGAACCTTGTCAATAACACCGGTAGCACTGTCATTCTGCTTTATAGCAAGGACATTTTTAGGTCCCAATCCTACTTATTCTTCATTGTTTTCATTCTAATACAAGGTACATGCTACAATATGGTAACCTGCGAAGTCCGGAGGACCTCTTGTTAACGAGGTTCAACTATAAATCTGACTCCTTGTATTTCTTCAGAGGTGAGTACCGAGGTAAAAGTAAGGTCAGTGTTGAAATACTGGTGCAATAGAAACACATGAGACTTGGGCATTTTGTGCAGGATACTACCGTTATACTCTTTCTCTGGCAATATAATGTAGTTCCAAACACAGTTCAAGGTGTAAAAGTGAATAGTACCATTTCCTTTAATAGTTTCTCCATTCTTTGTTCAATACAGGTTAGCCCTGGTCAACTGCTCAAATCAAAGTTGATGGATAAAAATAGTGCTTTCAAAACAATTTTTTATATTAATTGCATCATTACAGCAAAGAATACACACATACGCAACATATAATAAAGTTAACTGTTTGCTGACAACAAAATTTTTGAGACAGAACTTACCTCCTGAAGCTCATTCTCTTCACAATACTGTAAAAACTCATGCACAAATTAATTATAAATTTCGGCAACGGAAAAAACAAGAAGAGGAAAGGTTTCTGGGCGTCAGAGCAAGAGAGGTGGTGTGGACGGGCCATTACTCGCAGGCCAGTTTGCTGTCGAAGCTGCTTAGCGCAATCCCCATGGCCTGCACAGCGCACAGTGGGTAGTTGTAGTCCATGGTGAAGACGTCCTCGGTCACCCGGCCAAACTGCATCACGATGTACTCCGCTGTTGAGGGAATGACGGCAAGAAAAAGAGAAATTGAGAAGACATTGGCTTTATGGGCTTCATGGCATCTCAAAGAACAATGCACCTCAACCACCCAAATGCAGCTGGACTCAGTATTAAGGGGATCTTCTCTTCATTCTAGAAGGGAGAATATCTTTCAAATAGTGTTTAGCACTAGGTCACTAGATTCTGAAACAGAAATAATGTGACTAAAGTATGCCTTAACTGAATAATGATCAGGTAACGTTTTATACTCACGATCATTTGAATGCACCACTTGGAAATTCTTCACAGATGCCTGGGTTACTCGGCCGTGGAAATTCAACACGTAGGACTGAGTGTCTGTTTGATAAATGAGAGATGAGGATGTGATACCATGATTTAAAAAGAACCGAAGAAGTGGCGAGAATGGAAAAACATATGCATGTTTGTGAATGCACAATGAAGAACCCTGAGTTCTGTTCTATTGGTATTTTCCTAATCTCAGCTTTGGTTTGGCTTTCAAGTTTCAATGTTTAGTTCCCCACTTATAAAAGCATCTCTTCATGGATCTAAATAGACCATAATCACAATTCTGCCGTGTTTGCCTTGTTCCCTGTAGACCCGTTGGCAACAGAAGTTCATGTATGACCTCACATATTGATAAAAGGGAACAGACTATTTTTCATTCTAGCCTCAGTTTGGACACATTGCTCTGAATGCTGGAAAAGCAAGATGATTGCCCTGTGATAGAGGTCTATGCAGCTCCCTCTTTCTGTTCCATTTGCACCTGCTTGTCTAACCTGAGGCTAAGATCTTAAGTTTTTAGATTCCAGTCCCGCGGTGTATGGCTAAAAATGATGACGCAGCTCAAGATGAGGCCCCACATGAATACAGAGCTAAGATATTGAAAAAAGGCACCTAGTCTATGGTCTTCAGGCACCCCGCCACTCACATCGGTGCTCTGCATGCTGCTTTGTACCTACATGGCATTGATTTCGGCAACCAACTTTTTTGGCAGTATGTGCACCGACCACATACACGTAGTTGAGCAAGTGCCAGGTACAAGTAGCTGACCTGCAACACTCCTTATTGTTGTATGCCAAGCAGAAAAGTATTCTCACATTGCAGCAGCTGCTTAATACACCTACATGTATGCCTTCAGCTCAGCAGCAGACATTATGTAGATGAGCCAACTCAGCCAAGTCCAATGCTGAAGTGATCATGTCACAGTATGCATTCACAACTTCTCCAATTTCTTTATTGACAGTTCCTGCAGATACGTGTATGTGGGTGTACAAATGGATACCTTTCCATCTCAAAATAACCAAAGATGAAGAGTAAAGTTTTTTGTCCAAACTTTAAATGGGTAAACCTACCATCGTTCCATACTGGGGTTTTGTTGTGGAGTTCGAGCAAGTTTTCCATGTTTTTGGCTTTGAAGCGATCCAGAATTGAGTCATGCGCCTGATGGAGATGAACAAATCACACTCAATCATTTTATACTGGTTTTGAAATCGCAAGCGAAGCACTGGTATAATCAAACATCATCTACAGTGTCAAGCCTGGTTTGCATATTGACATAAAGAAACACAGAGAGCATCGCTGATCAGTCCCTGACAATACCCAGTGATGTGGAAATACTTTATCAAGACTAATGCAAACATCGACGCAGACAGTAGGAAAGGGGATCATGTTCCCCTTTGCTGACTGTCTGCATTGAGTCACCAAAGAAGACCTATACAAACATGCACGCTGGCCTGATGGGCATACAATGATGTCTTCGCTTAGCACCACTCATTTTGCCCATTTTCTCCTTATGATTCCTTATAATTCGGATGCCATTTTGTTTATTTTCTTTTGGGTGGAATGATGTCATGCATCATCTCTTCCACAAGTGTCTGCATCTTGATGCCTTGCATGCCGTCAGCGTTTGTTACAGCCACATGGAAACCAGGCTTAAAAGGCTCAGAAGAAGCTTCTTGCAAAGACGACGGTGCAATTGGGAAACATTATTTATGATTTCTGGGATCTAACGTATGCAAGAATTTTCAACCCAAGCATCTGAGACCTCGGCCCCGAGACACTGACCTTGCGTGGTCTGAATGCCACCCTCTCATTGTCCAGAGTCATTCCTGGAATGACGATGGTCATCTTCCGGGGCCCCTTGAAGCCTAGGACATTGGTTTCCTGAGAAAACAGAAACATTGGCAACTCAGTTCATTACCTATGCATATGTGCCATAGCTTGAGGAGCATAGCTTGATGTTGGAACTGAGGGATGCGAAGTCCTTTGAGATTGTACAATGAAATGTGCTAACATAAGCATTACCCTTTTTTCACTACTTTTCTAAGTTTTGGCTAAAATAATTGGTAACTCTTTGGTGGGCTTGAATGGCAAATAGAACTGTCTCTCCCCTAAATGATAATGTGTTTAGTGAGGAAAACAATGTTAAAACATACTGATAAAGAAATATGTTCTAAAGTAAAAAAAACCGGCACTGTTGCCCCAAAGAGACATCTACAGATGTTGATATCACTGAATTATTAGATACATTTAGTTGGACCTGATTGAAACTTACATTTGGAAAGACATTCTACATTTCTACATAGTAAAAGCAGAGAAACAAGGGTTGAGTCCTTAACGTCAGTAGATTTATTCTGCTTTTCACGGCCCGACACTGCTCTGCCATAAAAGGAAAGTGGGGAAGGGGGGGTTGGGTGGGTGTAGAACTTACATAGATAACTGCAGCCAGCTCCTGGCGAGTGTTTGTGCCATCTGCCATGGCGCCAGGCTTGTTTGGACTGATGCCGTTGTCGTACACGGTGAAATGGGTGCCCATAAAGTTAGACCTATTATGGATGCAATTTAAAGACGGAAACCGTCAACGGTAAACAGTGGCTGGGCTCTGCCTCTGTCAGTTTGTAAAAAAATTGTCTAAAACCCTGAGGACTTTGAAAGATCTGGGTGGTTGGGGTTGACAAAGTACGGCTGGGAAAATTTGGCTGGACTTAAATTGTCTACAGGAAGGGCACTTGTACAATTGATATTATTAGACTGCATGCCACACACACATGAAACAGCAGGTGATGGTTATGATTCAGTTTATTACAAATTCAGCGGTACAGGAAAACATGTTAACTTGCGCTTAGATCCCAACCTTAGTTTGCCTGTGAAGCTCTCTCCATCTCGAGACAGATCCGTGGCATCCGTTGACAACAAATAATTGGATGTGGTGCTCTTCTTGCGTCTCCTAGCAGCCAGTAAGAATGCCTGCAGAATAGGAACAAGGGTAAACAGGTTTCAGTGACAAGCTAATGACCGTCTGTCGTCTCCTGGCAGCCAAGAAGTAACCTGAAAAATAGATGTGCGTGTGAGCATAAACAAGATTCAGTGATAAGCTAACATCGTAATTGAACCAAGAGGTGCACTGTTACATGGTTATAAATGCTGTTTCTTCTGTGCACTAGTTTCCTACATATACATCTAACACAAATGTACATGTACATGTAGATGTACTTTACATTGTTGTTATTACATGTGCAGTGCATGCACAGTTTTCACTAATCTGGGTCACATACATGTATGCAGTCTTGAGTACATGTACATGTACATCTGCAGATATCTGCACTTTTCACATAGGACCATGTTGAGTGTACTTACATACTGTACATGTACCGGTACATGTGTACTGGTACATGTACATCATCAATCTCTATCTATGGTTTTATTTTACAACATGATCAAGGAAACTGTACAGTACTATGCAAATACATGTACATGTGTACATATCTCACCACATACATATGTCATGTATGTGGCTATGGTCTCCCCTTCACATAAGAAAGTGTGTTTATTATGCTATACATTGTGCATGCAACTTTGGGGCATCCATTTGCACAAAGTGTCTCGTTTCAAATCCTTTAATACTCCTGATGAAATCAGACCAAACAAGATTACATCCTGTAACATTGAGGAAGGCACACATCTCTAAAAAAGGCTTTGGGCATTTTCATTAGACCCGTGGCACGCACAAATTCCATCGTCTTTTTTTTTCTCTTTACTTGTTCGCTTCGGGCAGTTCATCAATTGTGAAGAGACTTCATTGCTTATCGCAGACCAGATAGGATGAATGAACACATCGTGAACAGTCCTTACTTGCTCCAAGAAATACATGTATCCACTCTGATCATTCCCATCCTGGGCCAGTAAACAATAACACTCCAGAGGGACAGATGCACCTGCACCGTATACAGTCAAAGCCCAATAATAAAAGCACTGCCCGCGTCTTTGCATTCTTTGTTTTCCAACACCAATAATACTAATAATTCCTGTTACATCAAGGTGTACATGTATGTAATTGACTATTTAACCCTAACCCTACATAATACTACAAATTACTACTTGCAGTAAAATGTACTAATCAGTGCTGCCGCTTGTAAGAGGACATGACTTTATTGTTCTGTGAAGCCTTAAGATACAAAAGATAAGACAATATACCATACAGTGCTGTGGCACTATGAATGCATGGCTTTATTGTTCTCTGTACAAGTAACAATGGAAGTAACCTAGCCAGAAGTAGTAATCTGTAGCGTTAGGGTCCTTCAGGCTCAGGACCATATCTCGTCTTCAATATTTTGAAGGCAATGTCTATAATATCACTCCATTTCCAAGAAATAATGGAGCTAAAAAATAAAGCTACATGTAATAAACAGAGCCAAACACATGAACAATGGCAAAAAACTACACATGAACTAGGTACATGTACAGCATAAGTACTAACCCTTTTGCCGCTCTCTGTCTCAAGGTGCAAGAAGTAGGTTGGGTAGATACTGCGGTCCATCCCTTTTTTGTCACGGGAAATCCGGCACCGGACAGTCAGGCCTTGGGGAGCCGGCCGTAGCACAAATGCATCCAGGTCACTCAGGTCCAGCCCGCCTCCTGAGGCACCTAGGGTTTTGGTCTCCTACAAGCCAAAAATAGAACAGAGAGGATCAGCTTTTTTCCTACAGTTCATGATGAGAACTCGCTTCAATTTTAAACTGTACAATCAGCTTCCAAGAAGTATTCCACTATGACCAAGAAAACCCATGACAAAAACCATGCATGTATGTACCACACCATAGTTCTCACACAATACTGGTGTGAGTGGTGAAAACACATTTTTGATATCTATAGATGTATGCTATGAATAGATGTTCCTCTAGCCAACAGTTTATTCATTCTTGGCCAGCCACATGGATGGGTTCTTAGATGGTCAGGTAGACCTACCGGTACATGTTTTGAACAATTTCTGGGTTTCTTATAAAATTTCGACTTCTATTTTTATGGACCCTTCATGTACCCCTCAATACACGTAGAGTGACTGAGGCAATAAGAACCAAACAGGCAAGTGCTCTATAGACTAATCCGATTAGATGCCATAACTGTGGTGGCACCGCACTCACACGCACATTCTTCAGCTTGACACGCGCGTGCATTTGGCAAATCACGACACCCAGTTGGTCAAAAAAGCATGCAATGCGTGCGTACCAACTATCCACAAGCGTTGTGCCACGGCAGTAATGGCTTCTAATTCTGGTGGTCGAATTACACTATAGTGGCACTACTGCATTCTTGGTATCATTATGTACAATTTCCAATTTGATTACAGAGGATGAAAGATGTCCACAACCAATACATGTAAATGTGCAATGTACATTGAGAGGGGAATTTCACCAAAAATATAAAATTGATGAACAAAATGATTGGGCTTTTACAGGGGCAAAAGATATTTAGGGGTGTGAACAGGAATAAAAGTTTGATGGATCAGCTTAAAACAAGTCCACGTACATGTACCGTACATTTAAAACTAACTGCAACTACATAAAAACAGCAACTAATATTTAGCAATTAAGCCAGAAATACATGTGTTTACATATGTTTGTTGGTGCAAAGATTTTACCCTAAACATGCTAAATGGCACACTCAATATTGTACAAATGCCATCCACTAGTGGTTAAAATTGATTCAATCTACACGTACATGTACAGTACATACGTGTGTCACCTCCTTGGCTTTTTCAACTGCAATTATATGTACCTGAGCTGGAGGGCTAGCTTGAGTGCTAGTGTAACCGCTCTCGGAGCCGGTGTAACCCCCTGCATAACCGCTGCTGGTGTTAAACGTCGTGCTGCTGGTTGTGTTGATGTTACCGAACCCGCTGGGCTGGTTGGTCGGGTAGGCAGGGGGTGGGGACATCTGGCCCCCGGGATGGCCGCTGGTGTTCATGACCCCAATGGGCGTGCCGCTCTCCTCGTTGTCCTCGTAGTTGACGGCCTGGGAGATGCCCATGGCTTTCAACTTCTTCTCTGTCTCTGGGTTTGATGGCGGGGAGTGGAGAGATGGAGAGAACAGAGCAGTGTGATTGGACTGCGAGATAAGATGTGGTTGCTGGTCAATACAAGTGTACATGCACTGCTCCAGGTGTGTGCAGGCTGTGGACACGTGTGAAAGTCAACGCTAATTGGACCTTAGAGGGCAGGAAGTTGTGTTTGTGACGCCCGGTGTATCTTGAGGCTGTAGCGTGGCTTCGTGCAAAGTCAGCTTGTGCACAAACACATCTATACCGGGCTAAAGCTTATGTGGAAAGATGTAACTGAAGCCTTTCATTATGCCATCGCACAATTGCGCAGATTTACAACACTTGTGCCAAAGTGTAATGTTACAAAGGCCACATTTAGTGTTTTTGGAAATGTTTTTCTGAATGTGTTTCTGCACCTGCACCATTTCTACCCAATATTACCAGTTTCACACACAGTCACACACACATGTACAGATACACCCATGTGATCATCTTAAAGTAAGTTTTTGCGTTCATCACATCCACATGGAAATATCTCCTCTTCTAATTTTTGGAAGAGTATCAATTTGCCCAATTTTTCAGTCTCCATTGAGCACATACATGTACATATACAATGTATTAGTACTGTATGTGAAATGTGCCTTTGTTTTGGGTTGATGATTTATTCGACACATTGACCATTTGCTTTCCCGTGAGACTGCCTCACCTGTTGTTTCCCTGAATGTGGGGATGTCGTCATCATCTTCTGTGGAGGAACTGCCAACGGTCAGGACTTGCACAGTGGTTAGGGAAGAATTCAGGGAGAAGGAGGCCGGCCCATCAATACCTGCGAACAAATCAGACATGGGCAGTATTATCACAGATGCTGTGGGTGGGATGGGGGGGGGAGGACCATAGAGTTCTATCCCATGATTCATTTTCTCTATAAACGACCACGCGCAGATAACTGTAGACCACAAACACTGCAGGACACTGACTGAAACGTGATTTTTAATGAGATTAAAAACCTCAAATTAGTTTTCCGGAACAATATAGATATTCTCCCATGCCGTGTTTAAATGTCAACAAGATGCCATCTTACAACTGGTAATACATGTATACTATATGCATGTGCATGTCCGAATATATGTGAAATTTACTTGAGGGAACATCTTCGCGACTGTGCTTTGTTTTTTTTTTTCTTGTGGGGGGAGGTTCTTTTATGGGAATTGATTCGGAGCCCAGGATCTCATGCCTGACTTCCGATCAGAAGACTGTGGTTCTGAATGACAATGCCAGCCCCTTCCGTTCACAAGACTAATGTGCATTGATTTTGTTGAATTTGCCAGGAAATTGGTGGAAAGCAATTCCGTTTCTGGAATGTTAGAAATCCATGGAGTGCATTAACTGTGCACTTTGGCGATCTAAAATAACCTTCGAGTCTGGCAGGAAAGAAATGTATGAGTGGTGTTAGAACAAACTCATGTACTGGCAGCTCCCTCAGCAACCAAGGAACAAGGTGAGTATATGTACATGTACATGTACAATGTACATGTACAATGTACATGTATACGGAACCACCAAATTGCTGAAGTCACACATGCATGGAAACAATTTTCAAGCCCAACGCTAGTTACAAATGAGGAATTGAGGATGATATACGTGTACCTTTAACACATACAAAGTCTGCAATGCTAATGACAAAAACTGTTGTTACACAGTAGTTTCATAAATGTTCACATACTTACATGCACATGTAAATGTACAGTTTTCTGTAAATGTTTCAAACTTTAAACATTACAAAATCAAAACAAAAAACAGAAACAAAGAAACTTTTTGACAAGTTGGACTGCTACCGGTACATGTTCTCGGTAGATGTTAAACTGAGAGAAACAAAAAAAGATCAGCTACCGGTAGATGAGAGTACACAAGTTTTATTTCTCCACTTTGATCAGGTTTCATGCAAACACATAATGGAGCCATGATCTACATGGAACTTAAATTTATCACTTCAAAAGGAAAGAGCAGATAAACTCAATCCAAAGGTTAAATTTGAAGTGGTTCACAAAGTGAACCATGAAAAATAAATTTCTTTAAGTACTGTACAGTGTTCACAAACCAAACTTGCTTGTTTTCAGTTCTCAAATCATTCTTAAAAAGACTATTAAACTTCAGCTAAAATGTAAGTTTTTCTCAATGAGTAACATTTATTA